CAGCCATAGCTCAGTTAATTTCTGAAAAATTCACAGAAGCTGCTCTAGTGATCTGTTCTTTAAAAAAAAAAATCTGAATAGGGTAACTTCAGGTCTATTTGGGCTAGAAAAATTTGCTAACAAGAAGAAAGATATAGCTGCTCAAAAGTGACTAAAGAAGAGCTAAGGAAGACGATATGGTTGACTTCAGTGATAAGGTGTAGACCAGTGTTGATGTGAAAAAAGACCAAAATGTGGATTTAGAATGAGTTAGCAGTATAAAACACTTCTCAATATCACAATTAAAGGTTTTTATTAAGTGTCTTTGATGACTTTGCTGGGGACTACACTAGTCTTAGGCAAACCATCATTCAGCTCATGAAGAAATTGCTGATGTGACAGAAGAATCTGTAGGATACACTTAGCACTTTTGGTTAGACCTTTACAGAAATACTTGATCTTGTTTTGAGTCTTTAACTTTAGAAGAATTCGGAAATCTTGAGGAAATTGTAAATGATAATAGCTAATGTTTCTTGAAAATTATTGTGTGGCCAGGTATTATTCTAAATGCTTTACAGTCATGGTAGCACTGCAAGATAGGTAGCTGTATTCCTCAGAGTGAGGACTCTTTGAGTTGTGACCAAAAGTAAAAAGAAAAAAAAAGTGTGGTAGAGGAGAGTACGTAGATTTATGTAACCAAATTGCCAGAAGCCTATGAGTAGAGCTAACTTCTTGGAAGACTAGAATCTGGGTCTTGAGTAATGTCAGGATTCTCTTTCCTCCTTTTCTCTTTCAAAATATTGATTTCATTCTAGGGAATCTGTACCTAGAATATAAATTCTGTCAGTAGAAGTGGGCCTCCAGTGATAGATGCTTTGTAGGTGTGTAGTTGATAGGTGTTCGATTAGTGACTTCTTTTTTTAACACAAGAGTGTTGGGTGGGCAACTAGGGGCTGCTCAGTTTAGAGAACCATGGAAATTGTTCTTCCTTTTCAGTTCCATTTTAGTGAATGCTGATGAAGGATTCTGTCTGTATCACATTCTTCCTTTTACTAGGGGAGTTTTGACTGGAGCCTACACATAAAGTGTATAGTTTAAGAACAGCACCTCATCTCCTTTTCCAGGAGATGAGGTGCTGTTCTGAGCAGACAACACCAATTTCCACACTTGTTCCATTTCACAGATGTAGGAATAAAGGGATTCGGAAAGGGTAGCCAAATTGACCAAGATCACTGATAGGAGCTGGTAAAGTCTAGATTCAAACCTGGTTTTAGTGGACTGTTTGGATTGTGTTCTTTGCTCTTTGTTGTAACATAAGTAAAAGGAGCTCAGTGAGGTAAAGTTGGGAATGGAGTAGACATCCTGTGACAGAATGATATTCTTTCTTTCTTCAGAGAATGCTTGATTTCTTGATACTTCAAGGGATTTTAGTGTTCATAGATGCTGAATTGTTATTTGGTCTTAAAATGTCTTAACTTCAGAAAGGAAATGAGAAGAACCAGAAAAATATTGTTTTCATTTCTGAGTTACTTTGAAAGATAAATGTGAAGCATTAAGCATTTTAAATTATTAAATTATTTAAATAAAAGTTTTTTTCTTTATGCTCATTTCCTTAAAGAACTGTAGAAGAATAAAACTTTTAGTAACTGTCCTTGAGAGCCACTGACTGTGAATTATATATGTTTGTGAATAGTTCTTGAATAATTATAGCTGTTTTGCTTAATGGGACTATCAAAAAGTAATTTGTCATGAACCAATTCAGTCTTCTTTGAAGAAAGGCATATACACATTAATACTGCTATCTCACTTGGTTCTTTGCTAAGGAACAGTACATTTAGTACTTGATATTGAAAAGATAACTTTTAAATGTTGCCAGATACAGAGTACCCTCAGTTACGTCTTCTAGGAATGTATTGATGGCATGTGCTTTGTAGGACAGAGCATTAGTTTATTTTCTGAACCATGTCAAAGAAATTAGTATACATTTGGTACTAGAAAAGTTAGCTTCAGCTCTTGAAATATCAGTTTTCAAGAATCTACGTATTTCTACATGGTAGTTATTAATTTTTTTTAATATGATAAAAATGAAACATTAAAAAAGGGAAGTTATAGGTGCTAAAACAATGAACCTCATTAGATAAAATTATTAGTGAGTTTGGGGCACGTTACTTAAAAGCAACTAATCTTATTTACCTTTTATTTTATATTTTTCACAGTGCTAGGGATTGAATCAGGGCTTTGCACATGCTAAGCGAGTACACTGCCACTGATGAGCTACATTCCCAGCCCGTCATTAACTATAAAATATTAAGTTATCTCAATCGCTGAGTTGTTGCCAGTCCTTTTTTTTTTTTTTTTTAACTTTAAGGAATAAGGAACCCTATGAAGGGTACACTGTGGGGCTAAGGGTTAGTGGTAGTAATGGTGAGTATACCCCCAAGTGCAGTGTGTAGTTTGAAGAAGTTTTGCACTGAGATATGCTGGTTGTACCCCCCCCCCCATCCTTGGGGGATACCATCCAAGATCCCCACTTGATGCCAGAAATTGTGGAGAGTATTGAACTATGTACACTGATCCCTCAGTGTTCATGGGGGACTGATTCCAGGATCCCCCAGCTAACTGATACCAAAATCTGTAGACACAGGGGTCCCTTATATAAAATAATGCAGTATTTGCAAATAACCTACACACATCCTCTTGTATACTTAAGTCATCTCTAGGTAAGTTATAATGCTTATTAAAATGTAAATTCTATGTAAATAGTTGTTATATTGTTAAAGGAATGATGACAAGACAGAAGCAGATTTTTTAAATTTACATATTTGATCTGTGGTTGGTTGAATCCATGGATGCAAACCCTATAGATATGGAGAGTCAATTGTATATACAAACATATGATAAAGTTTAATTTATAACTAGGCACAGTAAGATTAATAACAACTAATAATAAAAGATAACAACTATAATAATATGCTGTGATAAAGTTATATGAATGTAGTCTCTTGTTCTCAAAATATCTTATTTTACTCTACTCATCCTTCTCGTGATGATATGATATGGTACAATGCCTGTATGATGAGATGACATGAGTTGAATGATGAAGCAATTATCACACATTATGGTGATAAGCTTTGTTGTTTAAGGTGCAATAGCAAAACTACTACAGATTTCTTTTTCCTTCTTTGCTATGTCATAGATAGAAGATAAGTTATTACTGTAGTTCTTAGTGACCTTAGCATATTTGTTGTTGTTGTTCCTTATTATGTCAATAACTTTTATCTTCACTTAAAGGACACACCTAATGGCTTCTCTTTGGCATATTCAGGTTGCCAGCATCACCACTCTTGTTCTTTGGGGCCATTATTAAGTAAAATATGGTTCCTTTAATAAAGCATTGCAATTCTGTGATAGTTGATCTGATAACCAAGACAGGTACTAAGTAACTGACAGGTGAGTAGTGTATGTACTGTGGATACACTGAACAAAGGAATGAGTCACATTCTCAGTGGGATAGGTCAAGATGGTGCGGGGGTTTTTATTGCACTATCCAGAGAGCAAGCAATTTAAAAACTTACTATTTTTTTTTTTTTTTTAACTGGGGATTGAACTCAGGGGCACTCAACCACTGAGCCACATCCCCAGCCCTATTTTGTATTTTATTTAGAGACAGGGTCTCACTGAGTTGCTTAGCACCTCAGTGTTGCTAAGGCTAACTTTGAACTTGTGATGCTCTTGCCTCAGTTTCCCAAGCCACTAGCATTACAGGCATTCGCCACCGCTCCCAGCCATGAATTCTTTATTTCTGAAAAATTTCCATCTAATGTTTTCAGATCAAAGTTGACTATAAATAACTAAAACCACAGACTGTAAAACTGGATAAAGGGAGAATACTGTACTGTGGAAAACACCTAGATTAAGGGCTGGGGTTGTGGCTCAGTGGTACAGTGCTCCCCTAGCATGGATGAGGCCCTGGGTTCAATCCTCAGCACCACATTAAAAAAAATAAAAACACACACACACACATTAATTAATTAAATATATTGTATCCAACTACAGCTAAAAAATAAATACTAAAAAAAGAAAACACCTAGATTAAGAAACAAAATAACCTTTATTATCATTATTACTCTAATCTTGTTTCTGTTTTCATATTTTTATTTAATTCTAAATTGGCACAACTAAGTGGATTAAAAAAAATTAAGGCTCATAGCCTAATTGCAATACTACCTCAAAACATTGAAAAGAATATTTAATATTAAATTATTAAACTTATACAGATTTTAAAATACATTTTTAGTTTTCAGAAATGATAATCTTGCAAGTATACCAAATTATCTGTGTTTTTGCTAGATCATAGGGTTCTGTTGTTTAGAGCTGTGAAATATTTAAAAAAGGTAAGCATGTCTAGTTTTCTTTACTATTTTATTTTTTCCTGAAAAAGTCCATGTTTCTCTATGACTGTCTTTCTTTATAGAAACCTCTGGTAGAATGTGTAGTTATTTTATCCTGGGGTCTCCTGCAATATGTCCGAACCCTTAGGTATGTTAGTGTTGTATTAACTAACTAGGTCTGTGTTCTTGGTGTCTGTACTAAGTTCCCTGAGGCATCTGTGGCCCCATGTGGATGCCAACCACAAAGCTGGTCTATATCCTTATCTCCAGGGGAATGAAGAATTACCCTGAGATTTGGGAACATGGGGAAGGTATTAATTGTAGCTCTTGGCACAATTGTACCTTCATGCTATTAGACACATCAATCTCAGCCATACTAATTCATGACTGGCACTGTAACCAGTTTCATAACTTTGGGTGGTGGACCACTTCCCAGGCTCCTTGAATCAGAGTTAGTTGTTCCTTTTTTATGCTCTTGTGGGAACCCCTCCCCCCCATATTTTATCCTGTACTTCAGTGTCAGTTTTTCTTTGCCTATAATCAGATGACTGAGTGAGGTCTGACCAAGTAAGTCTTTGGAATGTCCAGTTGACAAATCTAAATGATACTTTTCTTTTTGTTTTAAAAAAGAGATTCAAATCATTGCACTCTAAAGCCAAAAAGAAGACGAATACTTGCTTGGATTGGTTGAATACATTTATAAAAAGTAAATATGGAAAATGAACCAGACCATGAGAATGTGGAACAGAACCTTTGTGCCAAGACTACTGAAGAAGAATTGAATAAGTCTTTTAATCTAGAAGCTTCACTTTCAAAATTCTCTTACATAGATCTGGACAAGGAACTGGAATTCAAAAATGATCTGGTAAAATTTTAACTCTTGTCAAGTGATGATTTTAATCAAAGTGTTGGTTAGAGAGTATTTTATGACCCAGATATTCTTAATCTGTCTGTGGATAGTTTAATGAGATACAGTGACTCTTTGTGTGGTCCATTGCAGTGGTTAGAATGATATTCTCGTCATTTGATCTTCAAAGTTCTCACAGCAACATGACAACCCATTTTATAGGTAAAGATTCCGATTTGCAGCTATATTAAATGACTTTTTAAGGTCGTAGAGCTAGTGGTAGGTTTAGAATTCTTGTCTGACACAGCAACTTTTTCCCCCCATTGGTTGAATATTATATTAACGAGTCTCTACCACTGTATTTAATGACAAGTTGCTTGAATTAATTGTCTCTCACATAATTTATGAAATAGCTAAGAAACATGGTGTCACATTTTTGCATGTTGCTTATGACTTATGTCTAAACTTAGGAAATTAGTTGTTTTATCATGTTTCACAAAGCAGGTGTAAAAGTTCTATAGCAAAGCTTTCTGGAACAGGCTGTCATGATGGTGCAGTCTGTGCATACATGTCCTTGATAGTCACTGAATGTATAGATAGGAAAGTTGACAGTTTTGAAACATTTTGATTTTACCCTTCTTGTCATGGATTACTGAGTTGACTGATCATGGTACTTAGTTTGTTTTTTTAATTGACAATGGTTCTAATAAATTAAAACACCCTTACTATGATAAGGGGAAAGGCATCATTATGTGAGCATTGTTTTTTTTTTTTCTTTATTTAGATTGATGACAAGGAATTTGATATTCCTCAAGTTGATACTCCTCCAACACTGGAAAGCATACTGAATGAGGTAAGTAGATACTAATGATCACTGTTATTTTGTAGTATTGATTTTAATACTTTTGGGTTAGTTTGATGTATCTAGATTTACACTACCCAATATAGTAGCTGCTAGTCAAATGTGTCAATTTAAAAATTAAATTGTTTACAGTTAAGTAAAAATTCAATTTCTCAGCTGCACAAAGCGTATTTCAGGTGTTCAGTAGTCACATGTTGTACTCTAATAGATGGCATGGGTATGGAATATTTCCATCATTGCAGAGAATTCTGTTGGACAGCACTAATCTAGATTGTGAATTTTTTAAGGGCAGAAACCATATCTTGTTTGTCTTTAGTTTCTGTGCCCAGCACAATGTCCAACACTTGGCAGAGTTAAAAAATATATCTTATTAGGACTGGGGCTATAACTCAATGTGGTAGAGGGCATGATTAGCTTGTAATGAATGAATATAAATACATATTTTTCTTTTCTTAAGTGAATTGAAATATTAAATTTATTTTACTTTTAAGATTTGTTTATGTACTCTTAATGATTAGTTATCTCTATTGGTGATCATCAAATAGCTCATCCTCTAACACGAAAGAGCATTTTGCAATCTTAAAGTGTGCTTTATCACTCTTCTACACGAAGGACACAAATGTTCTAGTATTTATTTTATGAAGAATGTGTTTATTAGGAAGTTTTTTAGCTTTGAAATGGTGTTATTCTTTACTGAATTGGCAGATCAAAGGGATTTATAAGAGTACATGGTCAGTGACAATATGTCTGTTGTTATGTACTATTAACAACTCTTCAGCTCAGTCTTTTTGACCTTTTAAAAAACTTTCTTAAGACTTTTCTTAGAGGTTTCAGCTTATAATTTGGGAAAGACTATATGTATAAATCTATTTCAGATCTATAGTTTTGTTTTCCAAAAGATGAGGATGCAACTGTTCCCCAACATAAATGCCCACTGATAACTGTATCTCTGAATGGATTGGAGCTGTCTGTATCCCTTCTTTACCTGTACTTTTAGGGTTGTAGACAGTACTTCGTAGAATGTAAACTACTTTCTTTGTGAATTGTATCTTTTATGGCTTCCATTTCTATTTTCTACATCAGATTGATGTGGCTGTTACTTTGAATTTATTTTAACTTCAAAATGTTCTGTATGATCTATATTGAGACTTAAGCAGTTTTATTTTTAACAAAGGTGGCATTGGACCCTGAAAGAGTATCCTGTTACAGTGAAATGTTCTTTATTTATTACTTTCTAATATAGGGAAATCTTTTCATTTAGAGATGAGAAGATTTAGTAAGTTTTGTTAACATGGTCTTAATCTCATTCTGATTTTAATTATCTTACCAAGTGTGAAGTGAAAATAATTTTGGAAGACTGTATATAATGCCCTATTTGTACATCTTTATATAATGTTGGCAAAGAAAATAATGCTCATATGAATAAGACTGTAGTTCATACTGAAGACAAACTGTCCTTGGACACCTTCTTATCTCTGAGTAACAATAAATACTGTCATTAGTGGTTTACTGAGAAGATAATACAGTTATCAAAGTGTAATTTGGTGCATGGTGCGTTTGGGGCATGGTGTTAGATGCTGGGCTTATTAAGTGCTATATGACTGTGTCCTTGAGAGAGAAATGGGATTGGAAATTGGCCAGCCTTTATACCTCCAGGGAGCTGGGCAGGTAGATAAGTAAAAGAAAAGATAGTTTCAATTGTAGACCATTATAAGACTATAGGGGAGGACAGTATTAAAAAGATTAGTTTAAAAAATGAAAGGAGCAGAAATGTAAATAAGTCTTTGCTCTAGGATACGCAGATGCCTGTGTTCTATAATGTTCATTAATACTAATTTGAAGGGAGGCTGGAAGAAAAAGACATCCAAGATATTTTTAAAAATGAAAAGTTAGAGATTACCAAGACATCCTAGATCTAAGAACTGAGATCATGAAATAATATTGCTAGGCCTGTCATTCTTTGAAACTCTGTTGTCTGAGGTTTTTAATTTTGAAATTCTATTCTTTACCCATAACCTCCTCCTACTATTTCCTTACTTCCATTAAACTTGTTCTTTGACTTCATCAAGACCAAGTCTCTTGATGCTTCCTAACTTCCCAGTCTCAGAGTGGTTCTGGGTTTACTTTGATCCTACTTTCTGATTGTACAGGCAGAAATGTCTTCTTGAGCTTTTTATTGAAGTATAACACACATACAGAAAGGTGCACAAATCATAAGTGTACAGCATGGTAAATTTTTCACTAATGAAACAGCCTTTGTAACCAGAATTCAGATAAAGAAGTGAAACATTACCAGCATCCCAGGCTCTTCTTATATTCTGTCTACTACTGTTCTAACTTTTACCATTGATTGGTTTGCCTGCTTTGAACTTCATATCCATGGGATAATGTACTTTTGTACACATACATGTGTATACATGGAATATATACTCTAGTGTGTCTGACTTATGTTTTTAGGTTCATTCTTTTTTGGGGGGGCTAAGGGGGTTACCAGGAATTGAACCCAAGGGTTCTTGACCACTGAGCCACATCCCCAGCCCTGTTTTGTATTTTATTTAGAGACAGGGTCTCACTAAGTTGCTTAGAGCCTTGCTTTTGCTGTGGGTGGCTTTCAACTCTCAATCCTCCTGCCTCAGCCTCCCGAGCTGCTAGAATTACAGGCATGTGCCACCGTGCCCAGTTCATATTTTTGTATGTAATTGTTTATTCATTCTCATTGCTGTATAAAATTCTTTATGTATATTACATTATGTATTCATTCTACTTTTTTTTTTTGTACCAGGGATTGAACCCAGGGGTACTTAACCACTGAGCTATATCCCCAGCCTGTTTTTTAAATTTAATTTTGAGACAGGGTCTTGCAAATTGCTTCCAACCTCCCTAAGTTGTTGAGGCTGGCTTTGAACTTGTGCTTCTCCTGTCTCAGCCTCTTGAGCCTCTTGGGATTACAGGTGTATACTACTATGCCCTGCAGAGAATATTCTTATTCATGGATTTTGGTGTATACACACATGCATACACACACAAAAAAAAAAAATTAAAAAAAAACATGCATTACATATTACTTTTAGGCACATCCTTAGGATAATTGGTAAGTCATCAGGTATAGTTGTATTCAGCTCCACCATTTTTTAAAGTATTTGTATCAGTATATACCTCTGGGAGCAATATATAAGAGTTCTGATTACTGCTTACATACTTGTCAGCTTTTGAATTTTTCTTTTTCGCTTTGGCCTTTCATTTTTACAGGTGTATAGCATTATCACATCATGTTTTTAATTTGAATTTCCCTGAAAACTAATGAAGATGGATACTTTGTCATATGTTTTGGCCTTTTGGATATCTGTTTTACAGATTGTCCTTAGTCCAGTTAATTCTCTTGAGGTTTTTTTTTTTTTTTAAAGAAAGTGGTTTACAATCCACAAAACTACAACTATCTTATATTTGATAAAGGGGCTAAAAGCATGCAATGGAGGAAGGATAGCATCTTCAACAAATGGTGCTGGGAAAACTGGAAATCCATATGCAACAAAATGAAACTGAATCCCTTTCTCTCGCCATGCACAAAAGTGAATTCAAAATGGATCAAGGAGCTTGATATCAAATCAGAGACACGCCGTCTGATAGAAGAAAAAGTTGGCTACGATCTACAGTCGGTGGGGTCGGGCTCCAAATTCCTCAATAGGACACCCATAGCACAAAAGTTAATAACTAGAATCAACAAATGGGACTTACTCAAACTAAAAAGTTTTTTCTCAGCAAAAGAAACAATAAGAGAGGTAAATAGGGAGCCTACACCCTGGGAACAAATCTTTACTCCTCACACTTCAGATAGAGCCCTAATATCCAGAGTATACAAAGAACTCAAAAAATTAGACAATAAGAGAACAAACAACCCAATCAACAAATGGGCCAAGGACCTGAACAGACACTTCTCAGAGGAGGACATACAGTCAATCAACAAGTACATGAAAAAATGCTCACCATCTCTAGCTGTCAGAGAAATGCAAATCAAAACCACCCTAAGATACCATCTCACTCCAGTAAGATTGGCAGCCATTATGAAGTCAAACAGCAACAAGTGCTGGCGAGGATGTGGGGAAAAAGGTACACTTGTTCATTGCTGGTGGGACTGCAAATTGGTGCAGCCAATTTGGAAAGCAGTATGGAGATTTCTTGGAAAGCTGGGAATGGAGCCACCATTTGACCCAGCTATTCCCCTTCTTGGTCTATTCCCTAAAGACCTAAAAAGAGCATGCTACAGGGACACTGCTACATCGATGTTCATAGCAGCACAGTTCACAATAGCAAGACTGTGGAACCAACCTAGATGCCCTTCAATAGATGAATGGATAAAAAAAATGTGGCATTTATACACAATGGAGTATTACTCTGCATTAAAAAATGACAAAATCATAGAATTTGCAGGGAAATGGATGGCATTAGAGCAGATTATGCTAAGTGAAGCTAGCCAATCCCTAAAAAACAAATGCCAAATGTCTTCTTTGATATAAGGAGAGTAACTAAGATCAGAGTAGGGAGGAAGAGCAGGAGAAGAAGATTAACATTTAACAGGGATGAGAGGTGGGAGGGAAAGGGAGAGAGAAGGGAAATTGCATGGTAATGGAAGGAGAGCCTCAGGGTTATACAGTGGAGGGGGTAGAGAGAGAGGAGGGGAGGGGAGGGGAGAGGTGGGGAGGGGGGAGGGTGGAGGATGGGAAAGGCAGCGGAGCACAACAGACACTAGTATGGCAGTATGTAAATCAATGGATGTGTAACTGATGTGATTCTGCAATCTGTGTATGGGGTGAAGGTGGGAGTTCATAACCCACTTGAATCAAAGTGTGGAATATGATATGTCAAGAAATTTGTAATGTTTTGAACAACCCACAATAAAAAATTAAAAATAAAAAAAAAAAAAAAAAGAAAGTGGTTTAGGGCTGGGGATATAGCCCAGTTGGTAGAGTGCGTAAGGCCTGGATTCAATCCCCAGTACCACCAAAAAAAAGAAAGAAAGAAAGAAAAAAAAGAAAGTGGTTTATTATATATGCTAATAAAAGCCCTTTTCTAGATATATTAGATATATTTATTGCAAAAATCTTCATTGGTTCTATAAGATACTTTTTTACTATACTAATGTGTATTGATGAACAGAAGTTCTTAATACAGTTCAACTTATTAAAGTTTTCCTTTATGGTTAGTTTTTATGTGTCATGTTTATGGAAATTTTGCTAATTCCAAAGGTCATGATAATATTATCCTATTTTGTCCTAAAATTTTTATTGTTCCACCTTTCACATTTAGATCTGTGATTCATCTAGAATTTTGAGTGTGTGTGTGTTAGTGTGCGGAGTCCACTAGCACCATTTACTGAGGGGAGTATTATCTGTGGTGTCACCTATGTTATAAGTCAGGAGATTATGTGTATGTGGACCTGATTCCATTGGTGTGTCTATGCTTCCCCCAATATTACATTCTAATGCTTGAACCTTTATAATAGGTCTTGATATCTGTTTTCCAGCTTTGTTATTCTCCTTTGAGATTGCTTTGCTTATTCTTGGTCTTTTGCATTTCCACTCAAGTTTTAGAATCAGTTCATTGATTTACATACACGTAGATACACACAAATTATCTGAAATTTGATAGGAGTGTGTAGATTTTACGTATCAGTTTGGAGAAAATTGGTTACTATGTGGCAGTAGCTTTAAATTCGGTCTTGACATCCTGAATTCTTTTATTTTCTTAACTTTTTCTTTACTTATCCTATAAGCCTGGCTTAACTTAGCTAATCTATTTTCCTTAATTATGTCCCCAGGCTGCTTTAGAAAATCAAATAAGGTTTTAATTGACTTTCTTGCTTAAGACCTTGGTGTTGCAGTTCTTATTTTTGAATTATTTCCTTTCTCTTTTCTACAGCAATTGTTTCAATCTTTTATAGTTCTCAAGTAACATAATGTGTCCTTGCCAGTGCTAACCCTTTTCTTAGCAGACTTATGTGCAGAGATATCTGAAAAGAAGTTGTAAATAAAGACCTAAACCTGAACAGAAACATTGGTACTAAAAACAGATTTTGTAGTATTTTTAGCATAATATGGTACTTAAAACCATAGGTATGGACAAGGTTAATCAAATAGAAAGTGTGTGAAGTGGGGAGAGAGCTAAGACTGTAGTTTTGGGGGAACAACAGCTTTTAAAGTTTGGCTGAGAAGAAGCTAGACAACATGATTGATAAGAGTCCATATAAATTGGAGAAGAACCAGGAAAGAATCGATCTAGGGGAGATCGAGATCAACCAGATCAAGGGGAGAGAAATTTTTAAGAAGTAGGGAATGGTCAACAAGGTTAAATAGTGCTGGAGGACAAGAATCTGCTAACTGAAAATAGGCAAGTAGAATTGACTATTACCTTCCTCAAGGTTAGTAATCAATAGCTTGGAATGAATAGAGAAAATGGGGATCAGATAAAGGAAAGGGAGGGGGTAGGAATAGGAAAGATAGTAGAATGAATCAAACATAACTTTACTCATATATGAATACACAACCAGTATAATTGCATATTATGTATGACCACAGATTGAGATCCTATTGGAATGGGTTGTACTTCATGTATGTATAATATGTCAAAATACACTCCACTATCATGTAACTCTAAAAACAACAAATAAAATTTTAAAAAAGAAAAAAAAAAGAAAATGGGGATCAATATAGATTGCTTTATCAAACACATTGATTGGAAACGTAAGGCAGAGGTGGATCTGCTGAAAGAGAAGAAGATAGGATTAGAACATTCTTCTTTAATATCTGTCACTCAGAATTAACTTGTACAAAACCAGCTCCTTATCCTGCTTTATCTGCTATTTGTGTGTTTTCTTATCTCAGTCTGTGGTCTCACTTTTTGCCTGTTGCTCAAGCTGGAAACCTTGGAATCCTGTTTGTGTTCCCACTTGCCTTTCCTTTCCCCACAATTAAATGGTAACCAAGGACTTTTGATTTTATCTCAGTGATGGCTCTTTCATCATTACCTCTCCTGATCTCTGCCACATTCCTAGGCTGGAATTTCCTTTCTTCCCTGACATTGCAGTGCCTTCTCACTGGTCCTTAGTAATCCCTGTGTCTCATTCTCTCCCTCTTACTTTATTCATTTTTCATACTGCCCCTTTTGTATCTAAAATATGGTTTCCATCATGTCTCTCCACTTCTTAAAATCTTAGTTGCCTTCCCACTGCCCTCTGTATTTAGCATACTAATTCATTAAATGAGTAATTATTATGTGTCGGGTGTTGTGTACTAGGCACTATGGGTACAGTGGTGAACAAGATAGACTTGGGGGGCTGGAGATGTGGCTCAAGTGGTAGCGCGCTCGCCTGGCATGCGTGCGGCCCGGGTTCGATCCTCAGCACCACATACAAACAAAGATGTTGTGTCCGCCAAATACTAAAAAATAAATATTAAAAAAAAAAAAAAAAAAAAAAAAAAAAAAAAAAAAAGATAGACTTGGGCCCTGCTGCCACTTAGCTTAATGGAATATAAGGCATTTTACAGTTTGGGTTTCAGCTTATCTTTCTAAGATCATCTCCAAGTTCTACTGTTTTCCAGCCATTTTGGGCTACTTCCTTTTCCATGGGCAAAAATTCATAGTATGAAATCATTGTGACTGCATATGCTTTTTCCTATCCAGAATGCTTTTCTTCTGTTTGTCATATTTCTTATGGTAGACTAAAGTCAGGTGATATTTATTATCTTTTAATTAGCCAATGGCTGTTGGTTAATTAGTAAAACATTTGTTCAGGTTTGAATTTGAAGAAGTACTTTGCAGTTAATATCAACCTGCATTACTGTTCCTGCTTCTTCTTGCTATAAGAAAGAAGTTTTTGGTATTAACTTTTTGTAGAGAGTGATATCTATGTGGAGTTGAAATTTAATTCAGGTAGTTCTGTTCTGTGCCTCTCTGGTGAATAAGAATGTGTGGAATGGAGATGAAAAGTATAAGTAAGTATTTGAATGCTTTGGAAAAACCCATTAATGCCTATCTGACTTGTTTCATAGAATATTTTGAATTTTGAATGTGTTGTTCTTTCTTCTTCCAATTTAGACTGATGATGAAGATGAGTCTTTTGTTCTTGAGGATCCTACATTGCTAAACATTGATACTATTGATTCTCATTCCTATGATACTTCATCTGTGGCAAGCTCAGATAGTGGTGACAGGACCAACTTAAAAAGGTAAATATTCATGTAAAATCATACTTACGAATGGTTGAAATATTTGGTCATTTAAAATGTCACTTTCTGGGCTGGGGATGTGGCTCAAGCGGTAGCTCGCTCGCCTGGCATGCGTGGGCCCGGGTTCAATCCTCAGCACCACATACAAACAAAGATGTTGTGCCCTCCGAAAAACTAAAAAATAAATATTAAAAAATTCTCTCTCTCTCTCTCTTTTTAAAAAAAAATAAAATAAAATGTCAGTTTCTTTTTATAGTTTAGCATGGTCTGTTGAAGCCCTATATGGGAAGTAGAAGGTCCATCTGTATGGGAATAATATGCTTATTAGATCCAAAAAAGTGGGTGCTATGACATGTTATTTGAACCTTTAATAAAAAGCCTTGTTAATAGCCAGAGACTCCCAGCAAAAAGTAGAGCTCTTGAAAGGAGTACAAATGAAACATGGCACAGTATTTGTATTGGAAACATGGAACTTGGTCTACCTTGTCTCCCTTCTGATTCCTGCACTCGACTGCTGCCCTCATTCTCTAAGGGCAGCTTTTAGCATTCTTCATTCCCTTGGAGTGGGTTCAGAGAAGAATCACAAAGATGATTAAAGATCTGGGGAAAAGATTTCTAACTCTAAATAATTTCATTTTTGGCTGCTTTTCACCTTGCAAATTCTTGGAGAAAACATGAAAAGGAAAAAGAAGTGGAAATGCATAATATAAATACTTTATTGAATTCATGTGTAACTTTAATGTTGATAAAATTAGCTGTGTATTTCTTCTCCTTAAATTTGCCCTGTCTCAGTCCTATCTTCTTTAGGTTGTTGTTTCTTATGGGGTAGGGACCATTGCTGGATATGTTCACCTGTTCATCACTCTGTACTATAAATAGACAAGTGTTTTTGATGATTTATTACCTGCTTAAATGATGTCATTTTATTGTCTGTGCAATAAATTCAGAAGCTATTGTGTGACACCATTGTGGACTCTGCTTACTATTCTGAGCTCATCTCTGAGCTCTCCCTCTTCAGCCACCTGGTCCATGCTTGTTTGTACTTAGTGTTCCCAGGCATACTTTACACCTTTACATCTGTACATTTCTGCTTGTGCTTTTTTGCCCAACAGACTCACAGTCATTCAACAAGGCTAAAAGAGATGTTTTCTCTTTTCTACAGCTATCCCTCATATCCCCCAAATAAACAGATTAAACTCTTCTTCATTTGCATTTCCTACTACTGTATTCATATTTCTTGTCCATTTCATCCTGTAAGAGTTACTTGTCAGTTCCTCTGGCTAGGCTGAGGTCTTTGATGGTAGGAACTGTGACTTCCTTATTTTTGTATTCCCAGAGCATACTTTTAGTCATACAGAGTAGATACTCAATAATGTCTGGTAAATCACTTTTTGTATGATGATTAGTGGCTGTAAGTGAAAGGTGCCGTTAGCAGGAGCAACAGTGTGTAGTAATAAGTGAGGAATTGAGAAGGTGATTGGTTGAACAATGGGAATGGTGATCATGGACAGAAGAGCAATAAAGGAGAGAAGGTGTAGGAAGGCACGTGGAGGTAATAATGACATACAGAACAGGAGTGATCTGTAGGCAACCCTCTAGAGAACAGTAGGTGACTCATATTTGCTATAGTAGTTATGGAGGGCAAGGAGTGGTTTCAGTCAATGAAAAAGGAATGTTGATTTTATTCATTTTCCTGTTTGTGTTTTACTGAGGTTCAAGGTGGGTTTAGTATCCATTGTGATGTGAGACTGTTAGCTCTGTTTTAAAGAGGTAAAAAGAATCTAACAAATTATAGTGTTATTTTCTGCTTTTGTTATTTTTATGTGTTTTTTTTTTTTCTTTCAAAGCATTGGGACCTTGCCTTTTCAACTCATTCTTCTGTTCTTTCTTAAACATTTTTTTTTTTTTTAAGGAAAAAGAAATTACCTGATTCTTTTTCACTCCATGGATCAGTTATGCGACATTCACTTCTGAAGGGAATTTCTGCCCAGATAGTGTCTGCAGCTGTAAGTATTTTGTTCTTTTCCCCAGCTTTATAACCTGCAATGGCATAATGAAGTAGGAATGAGCATAAAATAAAGCACAGCTCTTCTCTTGGCTTGAGGCTTAAGAAAAATAGAATCTGGCTTTCATGGCTTTTGTGTGATTATTTTTGACTCCTAAGATATGAGTACACATTTTGACAAAGAAATTAGTACAGCCATGAAAATAAAGGTCTGCTCAGAGTAGTAGGTATACCCAAATGAAATATGGCCTCAAGCCTAAAAGAAACACTATCTGCCTTTTCTTTATATTCTTTTCTGGTTAGTTGCCATTTTGTGTGTTTGGTTGAAGTAGAGTTTTTAGTCTTTTCATATGGAGAAGTGATTGATCAGAATCTTTTTTAAAAAATATTTTTTTAGTTGTAGATGGATAGAATATCTTTATTTATTTATTTATTTTTATGTGGTGCTGAGGATTGAACCCAGTGCCTTACATATGCAAAGCAGGCACTCTGCCACTGAGCTACAGCCCCAGCCCTGATCAGAATCTTTTACAACCAAAATTTTTTTATTTGAATTCACAAGTCTTTTCATGTACTTATATCATTTATTCTTACAACTTGGAGAGCAGGTAACCTATGTCCTATTTTAAAAATGAGAAGATAGGCTTAGAAAGGTGATATTAACTTGTCTTACATCATTCCATTAGGATGTAGCAGAATGATTACTCAAAAATTGATGTTTCTGGCTCCAAGTTTAGGGCCTCTTATTGTGGAAAGGAAGTTGCATTGGTGAATGTGGCCATTGTATAATGACTAGAACAGAATATCTGGCCTTTTTCTTTTCTAGTGGTGCTGGGGATTGAACCCAAGGCCTTGTGCGTGCAAGGCAAGCACTCTACCAACTGAATTATATCTCCAGTCCCTATCTGGCCTTTTTTGAGAGTGCCAGGTTAATGTAAAAAATATTTAATAGTCTATCAAGACAGTAGATATTGATAAAACTTTCCTTTGACCTCAAAGCTCATACTTTTAAGTAATCTTTCAATTCTAGTTTTCTGAATTCAGTGTATATATAACAGTAATACTCATAATGACAGATTCATAACCCAAGAACTTTGATGTGGTTTTATGTTCTTTTCATGGAGTTTAATTGCTATTTTACATATTCAGTTTGAATGAGAAATAAAGGTTTTGAGGGCTGGCTGTAAGGTCAGTGGTAGAGCACTTGCCTAACATGCATGAATTCCTGGTTCTATCCCTGCACTGGAAAAGAATAAATAAAATAAATAAAAAAATACAGGTTTTGACCTTTCAAGAGGGTAAGGGGTTGTTACAAGAGTGGCATTATGACTCCAAAATTCTGTACAATTTTCAGGTTTATCAGAGAAAGTTCTTAGTGCAGACTCCAAAAAAAAAAAAAAAAGAAAGGTGTTCACTCTGGGCAACTGGTGTATCCTGACCCAGTTTCTAAATCATGAGGTCAGTTTAGAGAGATGGTCAAGCAATGGAGGAAAGCTGGGGGATTGTCCTCCTTTTTTAGGTGGAGAGTAACTCATATTTGCCAGAATAGGAACCACCTGTTGAGGATTACATTTCCATGACGTTTTCTGAATTTAATCCTTATGTAGGTGATGAAATTCATTCCTTTCAAAATCAAGATGAACCAGAACAGTCATTTGACCCACCTGTGCAGTTTTAAAAATATTTTGAATAATGGAGACTGAACTAAAACTCAGACACTGAGCAATGATTAGATAAATCTGTTATTTAAAAGGGTTTCTCCTCCCTCTTAAAGAGGAGGGGGAAATTCTAATAAATCCCAGAGTGTTTGCATTCTGTTCTTATTTCATTGCTATGGCTGAGCTCCTTTGGTATGTTAAAATGAAAACTGCTTTTCCTTTGACAGTCATCATATGGTGCCTTCCTAATTTTGGATTACCAGCTCAATTTAAATTGCATGCTTTTCTGTGATGGTTGGTTTATTAACATGTAAAGCTAGTTATATTTTTGGGTATTTTTCCTGAAGAGTTGTTCAGTAGTGCCTTCAGCATGATGGTTAGTGATATTATCAGGCTGCTTTGAGTCTTGACTGTCATGGCTTTGGAGTTTAAGCATGAAAAACATTTAAGAGAGATGAAATTTTTGGAGTTGTGAACCTCATTCTTTAATTTTGGGATCCTTCTCAAAGTGATGTGACATGTCTATACTTAAAATTAATTCAGAGTAACCTTTTTTTAAAATATATTTTTTTTTAGTTGTAGATGGACACAATACCTTTCCTTATTTATATGTGGTACTGAGGATCTAACCCACACAGCGCCAAGTCTTCACTCTATCACTGAGCTACAACCCCAGCCCCTCAAAGTAACCTTTTAAGGTTTTTTTGAATCATTTTGATGATTAATCTTAAGATACTGTAGATATCTTAGTGTAGTGTATTTTTAGAAATATGTCCAGTACATAAGAATCTCCTGAGGTGCTTTTTAAAATGAAGATTCCTGGGTATCACTTTAGATCTACTGAATTGTAATCTAGCAGCATAGTATATGGTTCTGCATTTTAACAGGCATTCCAGGTGATTGTATTGCAGGTCTGGCTTTTGAGAACCACTACTCTAAGATGTTGCAGCACCAGTACTAAAATTCTGTAATCTCTAAAATGCTTCCCACATCTGTGCTTTTTAGCTTTTGAAGTCAGATGACTTCTGATTTCATTATTCAGGTTCCATTTTGAATAATAGCTTATGCTTTTCATCTGCTGTCTCTTCTTTTTCTCTGTCTCAGGCACAAATCAATCATATATTAAATTTTTATTGCATATTTTTTAATTGTAAGTCATTATGCTTTACACCCACACACCCATCATACCCCTACCTGGTATATGCTTCTCTCTAGAACACTGAATCCAGCAACATTGGTGATTGTTGTTTCTCATGTTTCCATGCACTGAAGTTTCTTAGGTTATTTCCCGGGAAGTTCTTCAAAATTAGGTAATAGATTCTGCCTTCTGAGATATTATAGTAACTAATTGACCATATTGACAGGGTCAGACAAAACAGTTGTTGAAATGATGTAAAGAGCCTGCCCTGGAGGCTGAGTTTGAGACATAGTTCTAACACTTACTGAGGAGCCTTGGGCAAGACAGTTAAGCTCTTTGAAACTTATTCTCTTAATTTAGAAAATCAGAATAATACTGACTCTTCTATCTCTCCAAATTTGAGAAACAGTGTAAATGTTTGTGAAATCCACTTGCTTCTACAGTGCTGTATCATTGCAAGCTGTTACTATTCAAAACTAAGTATCAAATAAATACTCTTTTATTTATATCATTCTTTACATTAATTCTCAGGACAACTAACTGAGATAAATAAGGTAGTATTTAGTATTTCTTTGAACAGGAGAAGTCAACAAAACCCAGAAAAGTTAGGGGACTTTTCCACAGTCAGAATTAGTGGTAAGGAACTGAACTAGCCCTTAAGTGTTTTACCTTTTTATGCTTAAGAACTGAATGTACACTGCTGGGGTTTTACTTAAGGGTTAGTAGGTAATCTGCTGGGTAGGAAACCCCTACTTCAAAGTAGAATGTCTTGAGCACGTTTTCTTTTTGCTGCTGTTATTTAATTTTTTTTTTTTTCAGTACTAGGGATTGATCCCAGGGTTGGTTTACCATGGAGCCATATCCCCAGCCCTGCCCTTCACCCACCCTTGCTAAATAGGGTCTTGCTAAGTTGCTAGTACTGACCTTGAACTTGAGATCCTTCTGAGTTCCTGTGATCACAGAAGTGTGCCACCAACTCTGGCTTCCCTTTTCTTCAGTCTTCATAGACTCCTATCATTTTGGCTCCTTAGTACTTATAGTTTTTACACTATAGAAACAGAACCTCTTTCCTGTCTTTTTCGTTTCCATTTATAATCAGTACCCTTCCTGAAGCATCTGTTACAGTTAGTAAAATAAGATAATCCACTCTCGTGCTCTTCCGATTTTGTTGATAATATACAGCTTTTGTCATTTCTCTTAACTAAGGGTAAAAATAAAGATTCTACCTTTTGTCTGAATTAATTTGGATTAAAATATATGTAAAGAGGGAGCCTTATACTTTTTTCTAGATTAAGAAGAGAATATCTTTTCAAATACTATTTTTTTTTTAAATTTTATTTAGGACAAAGTAGATGCTGGCTTGCCTACAGCAATTGTAAGTATACTTTAAACCTTTTAAAGTAAACTTTTTATTAGATTGGGGTTTCTTGATTTATAATGCTCAAAGTTTTTACATAAAATATTATGATATGATAATAAATTCCTAAGTCATTTACTCCCAGTAATCAGGTTTAAAATTTGTCCATGTTGAATGTTTTATTTTTTTCTAATTGTTACTTTTTGTTATTTAAAAACAATAACAAAAAGTTATTTTATTTTATTTTTTTGCAGTACTAGGGATTGAAACCCGGGGAGCTTTACCATGGAGCACCCCTGTTTGTTTGAGAAACAGATAATTGAACAATGATTAGCCTTTTCCAGGTTTATTTGTATGTAGTATCACCCTACTTTTCTGTGATCTGGCCTGTTGTGATTTGTTAGAAAACAGCATTCAGTGAACTCACTTTGTGGTAAATAGTACATTTAACAGCTTTGGACTCCAGTGCCAAGTCTGCCAAATAGTAAATCTGTGGGGGTCATTGTGGAGAATGGGGGATGTTGAAAAGCACACTAATGTGCCCTTTTCTTAGTCCTGTGGCTGGCTGGTTTGAGTGTGTGTGTGTGTGTGTGTGTGTGTGTGTGTGTGTTAGTTATTGGGGATTGAACCCAGGACTTCATGCTTGCTAAATAAGTGCTCTACCATTGAGCTACATCCCCAGCCCTCCTCTGACTTTCTCATTAGTTGGTTGCTTGGTGAGGAAATGGGCTAAGATTTGAACATTTCTGGTGCCCTTTGGCTCCTGTGGATAAAGTAGACAAAAGTGCTCTCATCCCTTCCCTACACTTTATAAGAAGCTCTTGCTTGAGTTGAATAAGTGCTTCTTTCTTTGTCTGGATCCTGATATTTTTTGACTCTTTTTAAAAAGTGGCTTTAAAGATAGATAAGTGGCATGTTGTTGCCTATAATATTGAACAAATGAAATTTTGATAGTGTTTCCCTTAGAGTAAATTTAGAAGTATTCTCAGAAATAAAATGTCCTGAGATTCATTTCCCATTCTGCCTCCTAGATGAAATTCTTGTTATTTATAATAGTTGGTATATCATCTGGTGCCTAGAGGAAGGCAGGCCAACAAATTCAACTCTGATTATTTCAAGATCTTTGATGTAATATTTTTAAAATGTAATCTTCCTTTTTGTTTTCAGGCAGTGTCCAGTTTGATAGCCGTGGGTACATCTCATGGATTGGCTTTAATATTTGGTAAACTTTCTAAGTACTTTTTTACTTTTAAATATTAAGAATCCTTTAGGGTTTTATGTTCCTTAATCACATAGTCATAGTGGACTTCATTTTCATGAACAAAACCAGAAAAACATAAAATTAGCAGTCAATATTTTTATAGTTAAAAATTGCTGAATGTAGTGGTTCATGCCTGTAATCCTTGCTACTTAGGAGCCTGAGGCAGGAGGATAGCTGGTTCAAGGCCAGCCTGGCCATCACAGCAAGACTTTCATCTCAAAAAATACGTACATATATTTATAGTTAAAAATTGCTTGATTCACAGCTTCATTTTGCTACCCATTGCAAGTTTTTTCTTTATGAATTTATAAGCTATCTTTTTATTTTATTTTATTTTTTTACTTCCTATAGACTTAGACAAAAAAGAATAAAGTTGCAAGGAACTTTGCCTCGCCATCTTGTCTATCTCCAGTTGATGGTGGTGACGGTGATTTTTTTATTCTAAATCATATTCCAGTTATGGGTGTTTTAAAAGATTTTGAGGGAAAGGAATTCCCCAGGATTTCCCATTTTCTGTTACTCACTGACAATAAGTTTGGTTTTATTTCCTTTGTAAATCCCTCTAAACTGAATTTTTTTTTTTTGCCCATAATTACATTGTTGGTTGAGAAGAGAATATGGGTAGTTTTATTTTTATAGAAGTTAGTTGTATTTTAAATTTTTTTCTATTTGAGACTTAAATCAGTTTTATTAGTTCTTTTTTTCCTATTTAAAAGCCATTAGATAATATTTTTCTGGCCTTTTTCACTAATCTTTTCTAGATTCTAGAGTTCTTTTGCTTCTCTTAAATGGAAAACCCAATGATACTGGATTTAGTAAGGAACATTTGATAAGGATTAATTTATAGAACTGTAATTTGATCTCAGTGGAGCCTTGCATCTTTGTATGAATGATACTAGTTATTTTCTGTTGTCTTTGAACAATTCGACTTTCTACTTATTATGCCAAAAACTTTATTTAATATGTATTTGTAAGTACTTTTTTACTTTTAAATATTAAAAATCCTTTAGGGATTCTTTTTAATGATGATTGATTTAAATAACAGTTATATTGCTTGGGGATCAGAAGGATAGAAACAAAAATGTAATTTCCTTGAAAGGATTTGAGAGTTAATTCTTTAAATAATACTTTTTTTCTTACTACATAGTTGATATATATGCAGAGGGGAAAATTTAGAAAATATAGATGAGCAAAAATTTAGATGAGCAAAAATACCAACTATTTCTATTCTTCAGAAATAGTTCCTAACATTTCTGTATAACCTTCTAGTCTTTTCTTTATACGTGTGTGTGTGTGTGTGTGTGTGTGTACATCCCCAAATGGAATCATGTTATTATCTACTTTTTGGTATAGAGGACATCTTTCCATGCAATTATATATTAATTTCATATATGGTTGTGTGTATGTTTATGTATATATATATATGTGTATATATATATACACACACACACATATGTATATATATACATATATAAATACATAAGTATATATATATACATATATATATATATATATATATATATATATATATATAAAACATGATTCTAAATGGGTATATTGTATTTTTTGAATGGGTGTATCAAAATGTACTTACTTAGCCTTCTTCTTTCATAAGACATTTGGTTGTTTCTAAACAGTGCTATGACAAACATCTTTATTTCTGCATTTTTGTGCTATGATCACTTCCTTAGGTCAAATTCCTAATAGTTGAATTGCTTGAGCCAGGACATGAGCATTAGTGTCTTGTGATAAGTATTATCCAACTGCCTTTTGGAAAAGGTTTTCCAGTGTGGTTTTGTATCAGGTATAAGAGTTTTTGTTTTTTTTCTGTGGGGGTATAGTTGATATTAGATCAATATACTTTTGGGAAAGAATCTCACAGGGTCTTGTAGTTCAGTCTTCTTATTTTTCATGTAAGGTAATTGAGGACCAGAGAGTTTAAGTGAGAAGCACAGAGCCAAATTCAGAATCAGATAACACAAAATCCTAGCTCAGTGCATTTCCCATTATTTCAAGCAGTCATCTTGTTTTGAGAGGAAGAGGAGGCAAATTCTAAGATATGAAGAGAAAAATAGAAAAAACTAAGGTGCTTAAGGATAGAATATAATTTATATATTTATCTATCAGCAGAACGGATGTTGATTTCTTTGTTTCCACTTACCAATACTCATTTTTTTCCTCAACTCGGTGTGCTTTTAACATCCCTTCTTTATCACGAGTTTGTACAGATATGTGACTGCTTATAATCAAACCCATGTGGAGCTTATTGCAAACAAATTAAAATGAATACTTTCAAAACTAACAGAGGAGAAGAATACATTATCTTTTGATACTGTCTCCTTCATTTCCTTGGGCCTGCTTCTTGGTTTTCTTAGATCCCCAGCAGCTTTCTTATAGATATGATGAAATAGTAATGTTTTATTACAGTCTCATAGGAAAGTGTGCCAAAGAGAACATTTTGAGAAGGAGTCATAGTATAGTATTCTGGTTTGAGCTTTGGGTTTTAATAGTATAGTTAATAAATTTTACTTATTATTGTTTGTAGGAAGCAGATGTTTGGACTATGCTTTTAACAAATGGATTAAAATATGCTTGAAAGCCGAGGAACAAATAGCAGACACTATGAAGTGTCTAGACAAGAGATCTGGGTTAGAGCTGATCTTTTAAAAATATCTTTGTTGATCATAGAAGTAAGTAGAGCAGGAAGAACTATATTTGTTCAAGTACCATTAGAGCTTCTTTGAAATAGAGGCCTGATTCATTAAAATAGTAATTGTTATAGTTTCTTAAACTTTATATGTTGTGTGTATTCTTATGGAATTATAATAGATATATAGCATTTTTTGTGTATCTTGGTTCTTAATTTAATGAAGATGTTTTCTTATCATCCTTTCTTTTCCATTCTTTTGATTGTTAGTGTACTTTAGTAGATTATCTTTTTGAAATTGTTTTCATTTCTAACTAAAATATAGGCTTTCTTATTACTTACTTTACTTAGTATTTACTTATTACTCTGCTATAATTTGAATATTATGCATTTTCTCTTTTCCCAGAACCAGTACCTGAATATAATCATAATATAATCAAATGATAGAGACATCATTTAATCACATTTAATATCATTCTCACAATTAACTAAAGGTTGTCACACCTTAAAAATTTACCTGCATTTTCTCTGACCTTTTGAACTGATTTCTTTTTTTCTCTCTTTTGGTCTTTTCTTCATGGATTCAAAAGGAAAAGGTATAGTAAATTTGGTTTGCATGAGTGGTTCTTTTGACCTTTCAATGCTGAAGGAGAATACTATCAATTAGAGTTGATGCCCTCTTCTGGATAAAAAATAAATAGCTAATTGAAAAATTGATTAGAGCCAGGAATTGTGAAAAACTATAAATGCATGTGTACCTTCGGTGATTTATTTTAACTGAAAATATGTTTCCATTTTTTTCTAATCTTTTGATATAGTCCAAAGCATTTTCTTTGAGTTTATATTTGCCAGTGGAGGTCTGCAGCACCTTTTTTGTCATAAACTTCATCAATAATGGGTCATGTAAAGCTGAGGCTCCTGTGAATCAATCCATGAGTACAAAATTCTACATTATAACAAAACTTTTCTTCATCGTTTACTGTTACCTGTCAACACCCTATTTCATAAAAGTTTTGTAAAGCAACTTAACCTTTACCAAGTTTTCCTGAAACATTCACTTAATGTTCATGGAAAAAATATTCTTTATTTGTCACTCTATTCCATCAGTTTATGTTCTGTTTGTTTTAAAATATGTATTGTTACAATGACATGAGCAGGTATGGGAAGGAACACAACCAACTTTTACTAAGTGTTGGCATTCTGGAAGGTAGCTGGTTAGCCATGGAGATTCGGTGAGTGTGCCCTGGTCTTCAGTCAGTAAATTTTATGAGAAGTTTAATTCTGTGAGTTGGTCAGATTGAGGTCAGGTAAAAATGCTTCTATTATTTTAGGACAATTAGTGAAAAATGTTTCCAATAAGATCTCTTTTCTTTTCCTTTGGCTATAATGAGTATTTAATGTGAATAAAGGATAAGAAAAAAGTAGTATTGAAGAATGATGAACACTGGCAAATTAGAGTTCTACACACACATTAAACTTGCTCCCTTCTAAGATGTAGGAATTTCCTTTTTTGTCTTTGGAACTAATTAAAACAAATAACGAGTGAAGAAATAGAGGGTTGGGTTAATTTTGGTATATGAAAAGAGTTATAAATTCTTGAAGTATGTTCAAATTTAGATTTTTAGGGTTGTTATAAACTTTTTGTGACTTTTCTTTGTTGTTTAGCACATTACACTTGAGCTCAGAATGTGCTGAAATCTAATTTGAGAAAATTATCTTTTTAACGGTATATAGGTACAGTATCCCTTATCCAAAATACTTGGGATCAGAAGTGTTTCAAATTTTAGAGTTTTTTTTAATTTTGAAATATTTACAAAGACTTTACAGGTTAAGCTTTCCTAATTCAAAATCCAAAATGCTTGAGAATCTGATTTTCTGAGTGTCAATATAAATGCTCAAAAAGTTTTGGATTTTGGATCATTTTAGATTTTGGATTTTTAGATTAAGTATGCCCAACTTGTACTACAAGAAAAATAGGTATAATTCATTGCAGTGTCAAATAGATGTGCTTTTTATGATATCTGGATTTCAAGTTCTGATAATTAATTAATAAGCTATATTATCATCATTAATAATTCCTTATATTTGTACTGTTTGATACTTTTCAAAATTTTCAAAGGATTTTGGTGTTTACCTCTATTTGAACTCTGAAGTTTGAGGAGAAATTGATAGTGTCATTTCATATTTCTTGCCGGGGTCACCTACTTCATAAGGATCCTGTCCAATTTTTAAATACTAATTGACAACATTAGACAGATACAATTTTATATGACTTTTGTAAATGAATTTAGATCTACTATTAATTTAATATCTACTCCCCAACAGTAGACAGAGGAGGCTCCAGAGTGTGGGGAGAAGAGAACTTTTCCTTTTAAGTTGATGAGATCAGAGCAACCTGGCAGAGCTCTCACTTTCCCTTTCTTGCTTCTGTCCAGGTCTTTTTTGTTCTTTCTATGTAACTATAAAATTTAAGTGTTTTAAAAGGTTTTATGTTTATTTTAGCCAAACACTTTCCCCCAGAATTGTCTTAAATTACCTGGACTACAGAAAGTTTAGTTACTCTTATAAGAGAACCTGCTGTCTTCTATCCATAGACATTCTACCTTTTCTGAATGTAGCCTAAATTATATAATAGCAAGTTGGTTAACATGGCACCATAAAGATAGAATGTATAAAGATAGAATAAGAATTGATAAATGTTTTTGTAGAGTTAGATTACATTTTGTACAGTCTATTGCCTGCCTACTATCACTTGCTATTTTTGAAAAGTATATAGATGTTATTGATAAATTAGTTTGTAATAGAACCCCAGTAATATTTGAGGGACATTAAATTGGTCCCTTTGTGCATTATTTAACTTTACTAATTTATTCCTCTTGGCAACACAATGAGGTAAGGGTATTTTTTCTACATTATATAGATGAAAATAGATTAAGTGAAATTAAGTAACATTCCTAAAACTGCCCAGACATAGTTGAAATGCCTGTAGCTATCTAGGAGTAGGGGTGGGGTTAAAATCCAGGTATCTCAATTCATATTGTAAAAGTAAAAAAAAAAAAAAAAAAGTAAGAACACTTTCATTGACACAGACCTGTAAGCTGTAAATTTAATACATTTTTCAGGAGTGACCAAGGCTGGTAATTTTGTTTCCTCTCTTGGTTAGATTGGAGTATGGGAACTACAATCAGGAAAGCACAGAGATGTGTAGGGTTTTAATCTAAAAGTTAGATATGTCCTTTTCTTCCTCTCCTTCTTCCATTGTCACTCTTCTGTTTCCTCTTTCTTTCCTTATTCTCTATTTGATTGTACATCTTAATTCTCCTTATGCTTTCCACCCTTTATAAGAATACTTAAATTTACCTAATTTAAGTATGACTTTATTAAATCAGAAAGCAGTAACAAGTATATTGGTGAATTAGAACACTAGAAATTTTCTCCCTCAAAGTAAGCCTGGACTACAAAGGACCTCAGCACTGTGATTTGAGTACTAACCTGTGCTAGAAAGCAGGCAGCTCAGACACCAGCTTCTGTCTTTGTCCTCTTATTTTCATTTTCCTGTTGCTTATATACATGACCAAAAGTAGTGGTATATAAAGAATACTATTGCCTAACCATCATATTGTTTGCAAATTATGATTTGTGGCTAATCCACTCACTATATAAGGTAGTCCTGACACAGTGAGAAACATGGAAGACACTACTGTAGGTAGGCAATTTCAGTAGAGTGAAAGAAAAAATGATGTCATATTTATAGTCAAGGAATTAATAAAATAAAGTGAAATTTTAATAATTTGGATTATATTAAGGGACACCATTCTGGAGGTATGGAGAAAAATCTATAATTGTATAATTCTAAATATGAAATAAATATAATGACTTTTAAAAATATATTAGGCCTTTTTTACTTATGAATTGATTCCTTTTTGAATGTTTACCTTGAAAGGCTAAAATCTAAAATGATGTAAAAAAATATTGAGTATATTCTGTGTGCTGGATATGGTATAGCCATTCTTTGTTACAGAACTCCTTGCTGTTGAGGATTACTATTAGAGCCAGCTTATGAACCCAGAAAAACACTCTTATGACATTTACTTTGGATGGGTGACTTACCAAGTATTATTTCTTACACCTGAGAATGAGTATCTTTAGATTTTTTCTGGTAACTAGATTTACTCTTTTAGGAGGTAGATTTGCAGATGTGACAGCTATTAGGATGCTTGTCAGATGCCTGAGTGCAAGGCACCAAGTTAGGAATTCTGGGAGTGTTAATTCACTCATGGTCTTAGCTCTCAGACTGAGCACAGTGTAATAGGGAGGTAAGCCATACTATGAAACTTGCATGTAGATAGTTACATGTCAGGAGTTTTTAGCCCCCTGTTCCCTCCTGAGTTGCGGCAGAGATTGGGGGAGCACGCTCTGACCAGGAAGAACCAAGAAAGGTAAAGGTGGACTGGCCGCCCGCACCCAGCCCTCCCTTGCAGGAGGATGATCAGATCCTTGTTTAATGAGAAAACACACACAGCTAATATAATGTTCAGGAACCAATCAGGGTAAAGGTCAGCAGGGTGGGGAGAATTTACATCTATACCCATCCTACAGGCAGTAATGGGAGACAGGAGCTGTCCAGCTGTCCGAGGGCAGAAGGGTTCTGAGTCTATCCTAGAGGTGGTCCGATTCTTCATCACAACCCACGGCAATGCCTTCTGGCTAATCACTAGGTGCTCTCTTAGCCACATGTGGCCCCAGGACTGGGAAGCAGGTAGCAGCCAGCAAGTTAAGTTTCCTCTTTTCTAATGCAACATGTCCCATGTTACATCATGCCCTATAGTTACAGAGGCCCATACAAGTGCTACAGGGGTAGAGAACTCCAAATTGCCAGGTTGTGGAAGTATTTTTTTTGTTTGTTTTTCTAAACAGTTAAATTTTGTATGCATGCTTTCTTACATTTGAATTTTTTATTTCATTTTTTTCAAATGGGTATAATCATAAACGCTTTACAAAATAAGCATTGTCTAGGATAAACCCTAGAGCAATTTAAAAAAAGTATTAGGATAATAAAATTTCATAAATATTTTGAGTACATCCTAGAAAAATCAGAAATCCTTGTCTTCAATAACTTAATCTAGTAGAGGTTTCAGTTATTTGCTTTTACCATATCAAATGTTATGCTTGAAATAATTTTCTGAAGTAGTTTAAATGTTCACTCTATAATTTTACTTGTGCTATTAATTTTCTAAGAAAAACTTCTCTTCATGGATAATATAAATGTAAATTTTAGCCAACATCTAAATTAATACATTGTGATTTTTGAAATTTAAACCTACTTTTAAAGAAGGTGGTATTCCTTTAACACTACATCTTAAAAATGGCCAAGAAGTACAATTTTAGGATGAGGGAGTTGAAAGTTTGATCAAAAAGGTAGGACTTCTTATGGACTTTTTGATTTATCATTAGCAAATTTTGTATTAGACTCCCCTATAGCTTTTTTCCCCCTTATTGTTTTGTTAATGTCTTAATGCTCAGCTTCTGGCAGAGGCTCAATAAATATATTTTTAAGTGAATGTGAAAAAATGAATGCTTATCATATACTTCTTGCCACTTCCCAAGTCTTTGAAAACATGCCTAAACTGTATTTATTTATTCACTCATATTTCTTTCACTTGACTCTACAAACCACTTTCTTTAGATCAGAATCAAGCATTGCGACTCTGCCTGGGTAACACAAGTGTTGGAGGTCAGTATGGAGCCATCTCTGCCCTCAGTATCAATAATGACTGCTCAAGACTTCTTTGTGGCTTTGCTAAAGGACAGGTAATATGCAAAACTTCTTTCACTTATAAGATAATGTTAAAATCAATTTTTAAAACAATATCTTTAGATCAATATTTTGAAAATCAGAATAATGTATTATGAAGTATTATATCTATAGAGCTAACCTGAGATTGCTCAGACTTTTGTCTTGTACAAATTTCTTAATAATTGTTACTGATTGAGCTAGAGTCTGTAATTTTTATATTCTAAGTCATGTGTCTTTTTTAACAAATAGCTTTTATAAACCAAACAAGGTGTTGTATAAAATGCATCTCCTTTTGTAGTAATACACAACTGTGGCTACTTTTAGTTTGAGTGTTTCTGCTTTCTGTATTATTTTTCTGTGTTCCTGGGTAACTATTTTTTTTTCCTTTATACTTTTAAAACTGGAATAGGTTATGGTTTTTCTTAAGCTTCTGATTTATGCATCACTAGCTGGTTTGGCAGTGAGCCTTTCCTATAATTTTTACCAGTGCTAAACAGATTGACTTATTAGAGAAATCTCTTTTACCTCTCAATATAAGAATAGCATTTAAAATCTAAAGGGATAAGTGGGTTGGGCACAGGTAGATGAAGATGGAAAAAGGCTCCATGCTTTAATGGATCTGCAACTTTTAGGTATGTTTTAACTTTATGGTTCTTTGCCTGCAATGTTTATAGATGAGAAGTAGATTATTTCATCCAGAAGGCAGGATACTTAAATCCAAAAAAGAGCAATAAATTTGTTTTTAAAGCACTTAGTTGTCTTATAGATCACCATGTGGGATTTGGCGAGTGGAAAACTTCTCAGATCAATAACAGATGCTCATCCTCCAGGAACAGCAATACTGCATATCAAGGTAACAGCTTTGTTTTTTTCTGCTAATAATCTTCATTATTATGCCTTTATATCCACTTTAAAATACATTCATCTCTGTTGGTAATCAGAAACCCAAAAGATGAAGCTGAACATTATTTGACCCAACAAGATATTTTCCCCAAGTTAAAACCAGAGATGGGTTAAGATGGAAATATTCAGCTTCAGATTGTATTGAAGCCTAATTAGATATAAGCAGAAGGGCAAACTGATGTGATCCTAGACTATAAGTTGCAACAAAAACAGTCAGCACCCTGCTGAAAACTCATATGAAATCTTAAAAAGTCTTTTTACTTTTGTGTAATCTGCCAGGTTTTTATTGCTGAGGTGCTGTGCTCTGTTACCGTTTGTTAGGTGATGCCTGAGGCTCAGGGCACCAGTTCTGAAAGAACTAGGGTTTGGATTATGTTTAGAAGTGAATCCGTTGGTTTATTTTCTTTCAGGGCTCTAAAGGGAATCCACTAAGATCCTAGTCTTGGTTTTCTCCTTCTAGGCCTGAAAAAAAATAAACTGACTTAGGTAACAGATTTCATGTATAAATACGTGTGAACCTCGGTTCTTGTGTGGTTGGAAGCTCATGTTCGGAAGTATAAAGGGGAAAGGACTATAGCTGGGGGAGTCTAAAATCAGATCTAGATTTTAATCATGTACATATCTTGTTGCTTAGCTGTGCAGAGCTCTCATACATACATGTGCTTTTTAAAGTCTGCAAGCATCTGGAGTTTATATGTCTGCATCTAGGTTAGTTACAAAAATGTCTTTTGTGACAAAGCCGCATTGAAGCATTTAGTAACAATGAAAACAACCAAGAAAAGCAAAAGTTGAGAGAATTTCTCCTCTTTCAGTACATGATAGTAATTTATCTTGACTTCTTTTCATATGGCATTTACCAACTTTTAATATGTTATAGTTGCTTGTGTATGTGTTTTCTCTTTCTTAATATGGGAATATCTTTGAAGTCAGAATATGTTTGTCAGTTATTTTTGTGTTATACCCATACTAACTGCTCAATAAGTGTTTGATTGGAGGAATAACTAGAGGGTAGATGTTTGTAAATGGATAGTCCTCTTGGAAAAAAAAGAAGTTATTATGAGAAACAATAAGAAAGAGAAGAAGTAGAGGCAGAGAGAAAAGAGAAGGATGTGGCTGAGATTAAAAGCATAAGAGTAGGAGCCACTGTTGTTGGGGAATGATGATGAAGGTGTATGTAGACACACTGACATTAGAGAAAGATATGTATAATTGAGTACTCCTGAGATCGGTCTTGGATTGACAGTAGCTGTTTGCACTTCAGTATTGCTAACTCTTTGTTCTCTAAACTTAGCCATACATCCCATCAATAACAATTTGAATTTTCATTCTTTATGTATGTGTGTGTGTATAAGTATACAGATATTCTACTGTACATTTTAAACCATATTATGGGCACATACACAGAAAATCAAACTGAAATACAAGTACTCTTATGTTTCCTGCACTCTAGTGGACTATCTTATGCAAACCCCTAGGATACATGCTTCTCACTTTGTCAACTGTTCATCTAGACTTTGAGAGCAAATAAATAAGACGCTGTACTATGCCTGTGTGTGGGGTTGTAAAAGAAGAATTTTATAGTGACTTCCTGCATCTCAACCATCCTAGGATGGTTCACGTGGAAGCCCAAACTTTGGGCTAGTTACTGTAGCTGATAAAAGCTTCATTATTTCATTTTGTGTCCTATATCATTTACCATTCTTCATCTGACCTTAGAACTGCATATTGTGAACATTATTATTCTGAGTTTTCCAGTTTAGGTAATAATAACTGAAGTATACTCTGGAATAAGATCAAGAAGATAGCACAGTTTGGGAAAAGTTATATGAAAAGTTAAGATGTTTTAGATATAGTAGGATTAACTCTTTATTCAGACAAGTTTATTTTCCAAAGATACCAAGTATCTTTTACTGTGTCTTTATTCTGGAATACTAGGCAACTGCCAAAGTATCCAAATGATCCTATTCATTAGAAAACCTTAATGTAAGAGCCCAATTAGAGAATTTTAGGGTTTATATCAACTATAGTTTGAAACTTTCTTTTATTCTGATGAAAGGTAGCTTTGTTTTTGAAAGGTCTCTATAGTTTTTTTTAAAGATACTGAACCATTTTTATTCTAAATAATGGTAAGTTTGTATGTTTAAAGTGAGAATGTGAATCTAGGTTAGGCTATTTCAAATGCTAAATGTTTATATTGTAGATTTTTAAAAACTTTTAGTTTTTTTCCCCTTTATCTTCTTAACATTTGACTGGTTGTTTAAAAATCTATAAGAAAATAAATTCCTTCTCTGTTTAGTTTACAGATGATCCAACTCTTGCCATTTGCAACGACAGTGGTGGCTCTGTTTTTGAATTGACGTTTAAGTAAGAGACTAATGGCTATTATTGACAATGAAAAGACTAGCTATGGTTTAGTGATCTGAAATTGAACATGAAGAGATCTGAAAAGTCTACGTGATTGGAAATAGGTTATGCTATGCTATGTATTACAATTAGTTGGAGAGGCTTATAGAACACATGGCATTCCAGGCCTGGTCACCCATTTTTATCTCAGTAGATCTGAGTTAAGATTTTAGATTCCTACATTCCAGGTGACTCTTATCGTGCTGTCTGGCTTGGGAACAACTGTTTTGGAGTAGCTCACTAATTTTGGTTTGGGCCCCAGGCCCAGCTGATTATAACCATAATGACCAAGTATAAAAAATCTTATTCCTTAGAACTGTCCTGGTTACTCTTTAAATAAAAACAAAAACTATCTAAATACCTGAGAGAACATTTATGAAGCTGAAGTTAAAAAAAATAGAACATAATATTCAATATTTATTACATTTCCACAGTTTCTTCAAGGTTAACACATTTTTGTTTCTTGTATTTTTCATAGCCTCTAAAAACTGAGCATATAGTATTGCTGAAAAACTATTATTTGTTGAAACATTGGTCACGTGACCTGTTTTTCATAAATCTAAAGTAAATGGGATATGTAGCATTAGACAAACCATTATCTGTGATTTATTTTCTGATTGAAAAGAAAGAGCTCAGATTTTAAAAATGCAATTTATTTATTCAGCTAATGTTAATTAAGCATCTTGTGTGTATAGGCATTTGTCTGGATGCCAGAGTTATGGCTTTAAATGAGGAGAGGTTCCTCTTCTGATAGAACTTACATTTTAGTTGGGGTAAGGATAGGGAGACAGATAATAAACCAACACATAAATGAAATAACTTCAGGTAAATATGATTGCTATAAAGAAACTAAGGCAGGTCAGTGTACTGGAATGTACTCAAGGATAACTCAGAAAGGCCTCTTTTAGATGACATTTGAAAAAAGACGTGAATGATGAATTGGTCAACAAATGCAACAAATGCCGGAAGAGAAGCATCAGGCAAAGGAGCATTAGAACACAAAGGCTCTGCAGTGGGCACAAGGCCTGCTAGGGCAATGCAAAGAAGGCAGGTGTGGCTGGAGCTTGACTTTGTCAGGAATGACAATAGAGAGGAGTGAAGGTAGGACCATTCTAAGATGTGGGTAAAGAGTTTGTATTTCATTTTAGATACAGTGGCAATCCAGTGGAGTGTTTTAAGCAGAAGAGAGAGATCTGACATGTTTAATAAGAAGATTCTGCTGTTGTCATGTGGAGTTTGCATTGTTGTGGGCAAGAGTAGGAGCTGGGAAGCTGTAGAGACAGGCCAAGCTGGAGGTGATGGTGCCTTGGATCATTACTAAATTCTGAACGTTTTGGTTACACTTTTAGGAGAGTAATGGGAGTGAGAACTTGTGAATCTCGATGTCTGTTCAGTGGTTCCAAGGGTGAAGTTTGCTGTATTGAGCCCCTGCATTCTAAGCCTGAATTGAAAGATCATCCCATCACGCAGTTTTCATTACTGGCCATGGCATCCTTAACAAAGGTGGGTGTATATAGAAGATGTAATTCATAACTTTTAGATGTTTGAACACCAATAATTTGAAAATTATAAAGTAAATATTGGAAGTAGTAATTTTTTTTTCCCCTTAAAGATTCTGGTCATTGGATTGAAACCATCCTTGAAAGTATGGATGACATTTCCCTATGGACGGGTAAGTATACCTCTCCATCTTGTTGGCAAAAGGAATGGCTGTGTCAGGAAGTTGCGGGAGATGATTCAAGAGGGGCAGTTCTATGAGATCATCAGAAATCTAGACAGTATGGAAGTCAGTACTCTAAGGACTGTTTTCTGGACTTCCTTAAGCTGACCAAAGCAGGACAAGTTTGAGACTATTACAGTGCCCTTGCAACCATGGGATCTTACACTTTTGTCTTTATCAGTTTATGTTTTTCTCTCATAAACAACATATAACTGGCTCTTATTTTTAACCTCAGTTTGTTAGTCTTGCTGTTCTGGTGTTTTGTGATCACCTAATTTCATGCATGGATTTTCATAGCTTCATTCACTGCCCTTTTGAGGGCAGTAAAATTCTCTTATTGGTTTTAATGCTGGAGGAGAAGTTGATATATTGAGTCCCAGCCTTTATTTTCAGTGTTTGAAGGACATTTGTTTTTTTTGTGACAGCTGTCCTAAGGCAGGATTGTGCTGTTTGATGCTTTGACACTGAACTACTGATAGAATATATTCCACTGTATTATCCAGCATAAACTGCTACTATATATGCTTTCCTTGACTTCTGCCTCTGAAATGTTACTTTAGGAAATGATACTTCCCAGAATGTGCAGTTGGCTCTATATATTTGTGGGTTTTGCATCCACATGGATCTGATCAACCACACATCAAAAATATTCAGAAAAAAATTATATATCTATAGTGAATATGTCATTATTTCCTAACCAATAAAGTATTACAAGTATTTGCATAACATTTATATTGTATTAGGTATTATAAATAGTGTAGACATGATGTAAAATATGTAGGAGGATATGCATAGGTTATATGCAAATACTATGCTATTTTATATAAGGGACTTGAGCATTATGGATTATAGATCCATGGACAGAGCAGGGATCCTGGAACCAATCCCCCTAGCTACCAAGGGACAACTGTATTATTCATACCTCAGGTTAGCCTTTCCTGCTTGGTTTTTCAGAGAGTGTGATCTTATAATGTGCATATAAGGAAAGGTACTGATGGAATGGCATGGAGCACAGGTCTCTGCTAGTTCAGAAAGTATCCCCTATTCTGAGGGAGCTTAGCTTGTTTTCTTGTTGGTACCTTGTATATCTCGGGGCACCAGAGTCTGTCCTTTTAGATGGCAAAACTGGCTTAGATTGTTTTTAACATTTCTTAGGTTAGCTTCATTAGCAAATTGAAGTTTTTATCACAGTATTATATATTTGCATCTTTTTTGTTTGTTGTATTGGTATTTTCCCAACATTTTTTATGAATATTTTCAAACAAATAAAGAAGTTCAAAGAATTTTTTATTAAATCTTTGTATACCTGCCATTGTCATTTTACTGTCCTGTATTGTATATCTACACATTTATTCATCTGTCTACCTATCAGATTATTTTAGTTTTTTTATGTATTTCAGAGTAAATTGTAGAAATCAAAACTCTCTTTCCTTAAGTATTCAGTGTGCATAGCATTAACTAGAGTATTTGTTTAGGTTTTTTTTTTTTTTTGGTATAAAATTTATATACAACAAATATATAAATCTTTAGAGTACATTTGCTGAACTTTGACAAATTCATATATTTTTGTAACCAAAACCTCTATCAAGATATAAAATATACCATCAACTCAGAAAGTTCTCTTGTGATATTTTCCATTTAGTCCCTGCTTTGTTGGAATTTTTATGAGAAGTTGGGCAAGGTTTTATCAAGGATCACTAGTCTGAGTTTTTTCTTTGTTATTCTTCTGTTAACTATGATGAATTATCTCCACCACCGCCCTCTTCCTTCTCCTTACTTAGATGGATCCTTCTAGTGTTCCATTGCTTGCCTGGCACTTTGTGGCTGTGCATAATTATGTGAATCCCATGCTTGCTTTCTGCAGAGGAGATGTTGTTCATTTTCTACTGGTAAGTCCTAATAATGATGGTATGTCTTTTATAAAGTCTGGTATCATAATTTTTTTTAATGATTCATCAGTAATTTAAATTGTGTCAAAGAAATATATCTTATAAGTTTTTGGAGAAAGAGTGACCTATTTAATTTTATTTAAAGCTTTAATATAAAAAAGACTGATCTATAACTCTTCATTGTTTGTTTCTCAATTCTCTCTCTTTTGGCTGACAAATAATTAATGGTTTATATATGTAAACATGAATGTGAACATGTCTGTTTTAATGCTATCTACCTATATATCTGTGTATTAGAGAACAAGTATCATTGAGCATTGGCTGTGTTCTCAACATTTTGATGAACAAAAAGCAAATGAAGATAAATTGGGATATTTTTATTTATTTTTTATTTTACTGTCCTTTATTGTATAGCTATACATTTATTCATCTGTCTACCTATCAGACTATTTTAGTTTTTTTATGTATTTCAGAGTAAAGTGGTAGAGCTCCTGCTTAGTGTGCATGAGGCCCTGTTAACTCCCAGTACCACAAAACAACAAAGAAACAACAATAAATAAAAACCTCTCCACTTGCTGTTACCTCCAGCTCCTGGAGGTATTCACTACTCTACCATCTGTCTCTGTGAATCTGAGTCTTCCAGGTACCTAGTACAAGTTGTATAATGCAGTTCCTGCATTAAAAAAAAAAAAAAAGAAAGAAAGAAGGAAAGACTAAAGTAGTGTTTTATTCTTTCACATAGCTTATAGTATTGTCTGAAATACAAAACAATTATTTTTGTTACCAATAGAGAAAATAGTTTATGCATTGAACTATGTGATGAGAATTAAAAGTTGATATAAATTCTAGTTCAAAGAGATTAGAATGTTCTAGAGAGACTTTATAGAATTTGGAGGAAAGGAGATAAATTGAAGTTATTGAGCTGAGACTTTACCCTCTTCTTAGGTTCCTAGCTCAGTGAAGCAAGTGCACCACTATCCACCTAGTTTCTTCAGCAAGAAACCTAGGAGTAACAGTTCATTTCCTTTCTCCCTTCAGACATGCTCCATCACCAAGACTGTTGACTCTATCTCCAAATGTTGATTTTCTCCTTTTTTGTCTACTCCACTGCTGCCTCCCAGTCTAAGCCACATGGATTGCTGGCCTAGACTCCACAGTAGCTTCCCAACAAGTCTGTGGGAATGCCTTTACATATGATGTCACTTCTGCAGGGAAAGCTCTGTTTTCTCTTCCACTTATCCTAGCTTAAGAAATGTTCATGGAATTAATGATAGGGAGAAACCTATGGTAGAAAATAAAATTGAATGCATAGGTAGATCTAGGTTAAGGGTTGGCAAACTGTGACCCCCTAGGCCAAATCTGGATAGTTATCTGTTTTTATAAACAAATTTTTAGTGGAACATTGCTATACCCTTTCATTTTTAATATCTTTGATTGCTTTCTCACTGTAGTGGTAGAGTTGAGTAGATGTGATAGAAGATTGCATAGTCTATAGCCTAAAATATTTGCTCTGGAACTCTTCAGAGAAAAAATACCCCTGATTTTGATTATAAAATGATTAGCCTAGACTGGTAATGGGGAACCATCATAGGTGAAGATGTGATGCAAGTTGTATTTAAGGAAGACCAGTAGCAAAAAGAGTATAGAAGCCAGGTGCCATGGTGCATGCCTATAATCTCAGTTGCTCAGGAAGCTGAGGCAGGAAGATTGCAGGATTTTTTCAAGGCCAGAATTTGTTCAAAACCAGCTTCAGCAAGTTAGCAAGGCCCTAAGCAACTTAGTGCAACCTTGTCTCAAAATAAAAATTAAAAAGGGCTGGGGATATGACTCAGGGGTTGAGTGCCCCTGGATTCAAAAAATAAAAACAGCATAGAAGACAGTAGGGAAAATGAAGGATTTGCTCTCATAATAAAACAGGTACAATGTGCTTAAACAGAGACGGTTGGATATAGTGAGTTAAGGGATGATTCCCTGAAAGACAAGGCTTGTTATCCTGTGGGATCTAGGGCTGAAGAACATAATTAAAACATCACATGTCTACATTTTAGAGCCAAGAAATATTCAGAGGGAGATTGCTTGGTTAGCAAATGATTAGGAATGATTTCAATATTGAGTTGAAAGTGAAAAGTGGGACTCTCAAGTGTTATGTCAGGGGGTGTTCTATGAGGAAATGTCAGGTCTGAAGTACAAATGAGAATTTTAAGACAGGAGTTATTGGAAGCCCTCAACATTAAAAGCTAGAGCATACATGGTATATTAGGCAGCTTTCCGTGACTATAAGAAAATATCTGAGATAATGAACCTAAAAGAGGATAGGTTTTGCATCATACTTTCAGAGGTTTCAGTCCATGGTTGTTGGGCTTTGTGCCTTTTGGGCATGTGGTAAGTCATTATATCCTGCTGGGGAGCAAGTGGTAAAGCAAAGGAAGAGGAAGACCAAAGGGAAGACCATTGGACATATCAAGAACTTTTTCAGTTGGAAAAAGTGGAATGGATATAGAAGCTAGATTGTAGAGCCTTGTTAACGAAATGGGTCTTTAGAAGAGCAAATTCAAACAATCATAGTGTAAAAGGAAAGAGTTTGGTTAGTTATCTGTAAGGAATAAATCAAGGACAGGGTTTTGGGGGGATTGTTTTATTTTTTATTTGAAGATGAAATCAGAAACATATTTGAGAACAAATGCAAAGGGCCCTTAAGATATTTTGGGGGGAGTGTGGTGCTGGGGATTGAACAGGGCTTTGCACATGCTAGGCAAGCAATCTGCCACTGAGCTATGTCCCCAGCTGCAAAAGAGCCCTTAAAAGGGGAGGATTAAATGTGCCAGCAAAGGAGGAGCAACATTGAACAGTGACCGAGGGGATAGGAGTTAGAGGTGTTACAGATAAAGTGTGATCTTCAAGGACTTTGGAAAATCTTAGGGGAATAGGCAATGTGGGTGTTGATGTTTCTAGTTTATCTTATGCACTTTCATCATATGCAGCATATGATCATTTTACCAGAACGTTGTTTCACCTGGGGCAGGTAATTTAGTGAAGTAAAGATGACTGTATGAAGGGCCCACATTAAGTGATTTCAGTTTTTTTTAAGGTAATAAATGAAGCCAACACTGCAAGTGGTGGGACTAGGAGGCAAAGAGCAATTGAGACTTAAAAGACATCTAGCACACTACTGTGGAAGCATTCAAGAAAAACAGGTTGAATTGAATGTTGTGAATTCCAGGTGGCCAGGTTATCTTTTGCTTTATTTTTCTTCTTCACGATTCTGTTACCTTGGAGCAGAAGTGGAGAAAGCAAATTATGAGGATGGTTGAGGATTACAGAGTATGTATGTGTGTGTGTGTATATATATATATACACACACACACACACATAGAAATAAAATATTGATACTAGAGTTCTTTTGGGAAATTTTGGGTTGTGTGAACTATAATATTATTATAGTTTAGAAAAATACGTATTTGTTACTTTTAGCTTCTGTTGCTTTTTCTTTTTTAATAAACTTTTGTTTGGCTTTACACATGTCACCAATCCCATCTTATTTTCTAGCTATATACAATTATTGATGTGGTGGATTTAGGTTATTTTGAGTTATGACAGAATAAAAATCATGTTATAGCATTTGGCAACACTGACAGCTAGACCACTAACCAGACATTCCTTGAGTTTTGGTAACAGATCACAGAGCAAATGATTTTTCTAAATTTATGTACTGGTTTCTCTAATTATCAATATTTGGGGCTTGTCTTTATTGAATGGGAATCATACTCTAGGTAGTGTATAATTAAATACTTCAAACAATAACTGATGTTTAGGTTGTTTTCATTTCATCATCAGGTTAAGAGAGATGAATCTGGAGCCATACATGTGACTAAACAAAAGCACCTTCACCTATACTACGACCTCATCAACTTTACTGTGAGTATCATTCAAACTGAATGCCCCCATTGATTTCATGCAGTTATTTTGAATACATGGTGTATTAAAGCTAATAGGAGTTCTGCCTTGAACAGAAGGATCATATACATACAGGCAGAAGTGAAATCCTGCTTATATTGAATGATGCCACATAATTATTGCCTTTTGGCCTGATGTTTTGTTGAACACATAAGACCAGGCAATTTTTCTTTGATGTCTTGATTAATTCAAAGAGAAGTCTGGGTTCAGAAGTATTTAGATGACTTTCTTTAGGATTATTGCCCCACTTTCTCTGTGAACATACTTTTGTATTTCTGAGCTTGTCCTAATGAGTTTAGGAGATTAAATTACTATTCTTGTGGTTAAAAACTCTACTGAGTTCTCTCTATACCTTATATCTCAGTTCTGAATGACATCTTGGTTGTTTTTTTTTTTTTTTAAAAAGCTATCTTTTTTTTAATCAAATTTATTTTTTTATTTTTCAAGTGTATTAGTTTTTAGTGTAAATAGTGTATTAATTTTGAGAATAGTGGAATTACAGTATTTTTTATTTCTCTCATTACTTTTGTTTTTAGGACATCAGTATCTGATGTCCATTGAAATATTCTGTACATGCATGAATATAGGCAGCCCTGAATATAAGGGAAAACCTCATTTTTCCAATAAAAAGACTAATAAAATTGTTTTTCCCTCCAGTTTTGTAATGTATAATTTTCAGGATACAGATGAAATATATATGTTTTTTATGATGTATGACTTATTAATTTAATTGCATATTGCATTTTTTACCCCCAGAGACAGAGTCTTGCTTAAGCACGTCTCAAATTCGTAGGCTTAAGCAATCCTTCCTCAGCCTCCCAAGTAACTGGGACTACAGGCTTATACTTCTGTGCCTTGCTTTTATCGTTTTGAGACAGGTCTTACTATGTTCCTCAGAGTGATCTTGAACTCCTGGTTGAAGTGATCCTCTTGCCTCAGCTTCCTAAGTTCTGGGACTACATACAGGGACCATTGGGCCTGTCCCACTTTACATTTTGAACTCACTGATAAACTTTTGATTTAGAAATAAGGTCGAGCATCCTTAATCTGAAAATCTGCAAACTGAAATGTTCTAAAGCCCCAAACTTTTTGAGTGCCAATTTGATGGCACAGGTGGAAAATTCTACACTTGACATCATGTGACAGGTTTTAGTTAAAAATGCAGGTATGCCAAAAATATTGTATAAAATTACCTTCAGGCTATGTGTATATGAAACATAAGTGAATTTCATATTTAGATTTGGGTCCCTTTTACAAGATATCTCATTATATATGTAAATATTTCAAATTCCCAAATGAATCCAAAACACTTCTTGCCCTAAATATTCCATATAAGGGATATTTAACCTGTAATATTTTTTTCCACACGTGTTTTGTGAAGTAACTTTGTTCAGATTTTTGTAATACTTCGTTGTCTTTCTTATCACCCAAAACCCTGTTGAATCATCTAACACAATTTTGTAGAATTCATGATCATCACTTCTGTTTAAGATGATTGAAATACAGTGTTTTAAACATCTTCCTATGAGTATGTAACTGTAAATTTTTTCACAATCACAAGTAGCCATTCTTTCAATAGTAGGTCAGTTGGTGATTTCATTTGTCCTTTGGCAGATCCACGATGTGACCATTAACTATATTATTTTATAAATGACCTTTAAAAGGACTGTTTACAACACTGTCAATATTTGCAGTTGTGAGGTTGATTGCAGGAATAATGTCTAAACTTAATTCTTTCTGTGATTTTCTCTTTCTTTTAGCCAGGTGACCCTTTAAAGTACCTAAAATCTAGCACCGATTTAGGGTTGTATAAGGGTAGAGTGTCTTTCCTAGAAGATACTTTGTTTTTCAAATTAATCAAGAGAATACCTTTTAAGAATTCTTTGTAAACATTTTGCTTATCAAATTTCCTTTGTCTGACAAAGATTGAGATGAGGGACCTTTTAGTGGCTACTCTACAGTGATCGGCCATAACTGTAGCATATGCTAAAAGAAAACCCATTTTCAATTTAGTTTTCTTTGATATGGCATTATGCAAATAATCTAATAAATGGAATAGGTTATACAAATATATCAGTGTAAACACTTTGTTCTACTTGATAATTCTGATTGAGCAGATTTTAAGATTTCATTTATTTCTTGGAGAAGGATTGTGCTTTCTAATTTTCTTTTTGAAAATAAGAAATCTTATTTTACACATAACTCAAGAAATTTATCAAAATGGTATTGTTAAGATTTCTTTTTTTTTTTCTCTTTTTAGTACCAGGGATTGAACTCAGGGTCACTTGACCACTGAGCCACATCTCCAGCCCTATTTTGTATTTTATTTAGAGACAGAGTCTCACTGATATGCATAGCACTTTGCTTTTGCTGAGATTGGCTTTGAACTTGTGATCATCCTGCCTCAGCCTCCTGAACTGCTGGGATAGGCATGCATCACTGTGCCCAGATAAGATTTTTTAAATTATTAATTTAGTATTATTTAAATTACAATGGTGTTTATTAAAGAAAATTCAGAGGATACAAAATAATAGAAAGACAACTCTCCCTTAATTTTTAGGGAGTTTTAGAAGGAATCATATGTTTCAAAAGCTTCTGTTTTAAAATATGCATTGCTTCAGTGCTAGCAATCATCCTCTGACCAGGTAGGTTTATGAAGCTAAATTTTCTCTTTTGTTTAATTAATATAAAAATCAGAAATGTGAAGTTTGTCATTACACTGAAGTCATTTGTGCCAATCCACTTTAAACAAAACTTATAAAATCCGATATATTCTGTAATCTATTATAGCCTTTAGTCAGTCATCTCTTACACTATTAAAGTGTTATTTTAGCACTGTGAAAATTCAGTACTATTTTTCTCTGGACTGTTACTGAATAGTTCTTGCCATGATTGTGTTACCATGTTTTAAGTTATTAAATAGATAAAGTCCTCAATGTAATTTAGCTGAATGGCCAGACTTTCTTCTCCTGAATGATGATGTGGGCTGGACCTCACTTTTATTTTGTTGTGTGCTTAAATTGCAGTGGATAAACTCTCGTACAGTTGTGCTCTTAGACAGTGTAGAGAAATTGCATGTGATTGATCGGCAGACACAAGAAGAACTGGAAACAGTGGAGATCTCAGAAGTTCAATTGGTATATAACAGCAGCCATTTCAAGTCACTTGCCACTGGTGGAAATGTCAGCCAGGCTTTGGTAAGGGTAATCCATTATTTTAGTGTTACTTACTTTGATAAACTTGGTGTTTTGTTGTTTTGTTAAAGAAATAGGAAGTTATGGGGACTATTTTCCTGTCTTGAGGTGTTTCTTTGAAAGCCACTAGCTGGAAATAAATGGGTGTGGAGGTATTTGTAGATATCAGGATGTGAGCCAAACCTGTTATTTTTTCTTCAGATATGTCATTAATTTAACTTAATACCAAAGAGTTATTAACTTTTATACTGAAAAGTGAGTGAAATTGAGAATTTGTCCTTGTACATGACTTAATTTGAATTGATAAAATCAAAATATTTTAGGAAGTTCAATTTGGTAACAATAAGCCTGGTACATTTAAGGGACAAGTGGCCTACGAGACTTGACCAGAAATGGTAGTGGTAGGTATTGAAAAGCACAGATGGCTTTCAGAGAAAGAAAATTCTTTTAGGGCAGGTGGTAGATGAAGTATAGGACCTTAAAGAGGGGAAAATAACACAAAATTTATGATCTTAGTATTAATTTTACTCTATTATAGGCAACTACAGTTACAGCCTTAAGCAGTTTATATAAGTAGTTTATAGTTAACTCACTTTGAATCATGATCTCATGTTTCCTACCATTAATCTTTAAATAAGAAAAATAGACTGATGTAAGACTTTCCTGGGTGATTTCTTGAAAGAAGTAGTAATGACGATCATATTTAATGAAAATCTGTAGCATGATATATAGGCATTGCTTAAATTTCTTTTAACTTCAAAGCAATATACATATATGTATGCATGTATATATTATGTATGTATATATATGTATACACACACACACACACACATATATATATGTATGTGTATATATATATATATATATATATATATATATATATATATATGGGTGTTCCAGTTCCACAATTTTTAAAAATATTTTTATTTGTTATTGATGGGCCTTTATTTATCTATTTTTTTATATGTGATGCTGAGAATTGAACCCAGTGCCTCACACATGCTAGGCAAGCGCTCTACCACTGAGCCACAACTCCAGCCCCCAGTCCTACAATTTAAAAACAAAGAAAATCCAGAATAAGAAATGATAGTGCAATAGGATTCACTAAGGTAATAATAATTACTAACCAAAATAGGTATTTTCTTTCACACTTTGAACTTGAACTTTTAGCCAAGATGGACTAATGGGGATTGGATTTACTCTCTTCTCTAAGATAATCAAAAGTAATAATAATAATAACAATAACTGTGGGGAAAAAAAAGAAACTGTAGTTCTCAAGACATGGCAATGTCTGACAAAAGAGAGAACAAATGATGTGAGCTCTGTGATTGCCCTAGCTTCCAAACCTGAATATCTCTGGGCTGTGTCTCAGGGAGGAGGAGCTCATCTGGAGCCTAGAGGACTCCATGAGTTGAGGAAACAGAGCTGAAACTGCGGGAAGATAAAGGTGAACTGAGTTTGCAGTGTAGCATACCAGAGAGGAGAATCCTATCAAAGAATTTCCCTTGAGTATTTAGCAGACTTCTGATCAGCAAATGCGTTTGAAGATAATACCCAAGGATGGGGAAAGCACTGGAAATGTTTTGAAGGAACTGTATCTAGTGCTCAATCAGGACCGAATGTAGTTCTTGTAACATGAGTTAGAATGGGGAGCTTCATCATTCACAGAGCACTGGATAGAGTCTCTAAAGGCATCTTACCTCAGTAGTGGGGAATTAGGACTAAAGTAAATGCTCTATGGGCCTCCACTAACAAATCTTAAAAGCAAAATCAGAAAGGATCAAACTGTTTCCAAGTAACGTAACCATCCCCAGAACAAAGCACAAGACTATTGACAGAATACAGAAATCTCCACAATCCAATAAGGTAAATTCACAATTTCTGTCCTTCAGTTAGAGATTACTAAGTATGGAAAGAGGAAGAAAAATACAATCTATAATAGGACAAAAAATCAATCAAAAGTAACTCAGACCTGACATAGATATTAGAATTATCAGTCAAGGATATGCTGAGCTTCTTGAATGGGTTTACAATTTTAGGAAGTTTTTATGTCCCATGTGTCCAAAATGTTAGAGACCTAGGCTGTCTTTAAAAAGATGCTAATATGACTTCTAGAAATGAAAACTATAGTGTGTAAGACCAAAAAAAAAAAAAATGCACTAAAAGGGATTAATGGCAGGTTAGACATTGCAGGATAAAAAATTCATGAACTTAAAAATAAGAGTAGTAGAAATTATCCAAAATGAAATACAGAGAGTTAAATATTTTAAAAAGTATTAGTGAGCTATGAGACAACATAAAGTAGCCTAATACATTGTAGTTGGACTCACTGAAAAGAGAAAAAATTGGAAGAACTACTTGTGAAAAACTTCAATTCAGTGAACCCAAACACAAGAGAAATAGAAAGCTATATAATCTGATCAAAATGAATAATAAGAGAAAAATTTTAAAGTGGCCAGAGGAAAAAAAGACATCAAACGCAGAGGAGCAGTGAGTTTGAGAGCAGATTTTTCATCTGCCAATCTGTATCAGTCTCCACAGAAGATACACAATGAACAAGCATGTGTAAAAGTTCTCACCATCATTAGTCATTATGGAAATGCAAATCAAAACCACAATGAGATACTACTTCAGATCTACTAGGATGGCTTTAATAATTTTTTTTAAACAGAAGACAATAACAAGTTGGCAAGGATATGGAGATATTGGAACCCTCATGCACTGTTGGTGGAAATGTGAAATGATGCAAATGCTGTGGAGGATACTTTGGCAATTCCTTAAAAAAAAAATTAAACATAGAATTATAATCTGACCTAGAATTCTAATCCTGGGAGAATTGGAAACATACTCACAGAGAAACTTGCAGATGGAAGCATTATTCTTGGTAGCCCCAAAGTGGAAACAATTCAGTATCCACCAACTGGTAAATGGGTACAAAAAATGTGCCACAGCCATATAATAGAATAGTTTCCACAGTTAAAAAGGATGAAGTGCTGGGTGCAGTGGTGCTTGCCTGTAATCCCAGCAGCTAGGGAGGCTGAGGAGGAGGATGACGAGTTCAAAGCCAGCCTCAGCAAAAGTGAGGCACTAAGCTACTCAGTGAGACCCTGTCTCTAAATAAAATACAAAATAGGGCTGGAGATGTGGCTCAGTGTTCAAGTGCTTCTGAGTTCAGTCCCTGGTAACACGACCCCCACCCCTAATGCTATATTAAAGTGAAAGAAGGCATATGGGAAGATTATATATTGTTTGCTTCTACTTATCTACATGTCCAGAAAAGGCAAATTTAAAGAGACAGACATAGATACATTAGTGATTAGTGGGGGTAAGAATTGAGATTGACTTCAAAGAAGTATAAGGATTTTTGTGGAATGATTAAAATATTCTTAAGCTGGATTTTGGTGTTGATTGAACAGTTGTTAATTTAAGAAATCATTGAGTTGTATATCTATTGATCAAAATTTATGGCATATAAATTGTACCTCAGTACTGTTGTTTAACAAAAGCAGTTGACTGATTAAAACAAAAATGTGTTGTGAGGTTTATTATACGTAAATGTCACATATATGACGTAAATAGTACATGGTAGCAGGGAGTAGGGGATGTAAGGGCATCATTGTAAGGTTCTTACAGTATTCATCAAATAATATAGTGTTATTTAAAAGTAGATTGAGATAAGTTGAAGTTGTATATTGTAAACTGTAGAGCAGTCACTAAAAATATAAGTTGATAGCAATGACAAAATGTGATGTAAAAAGATATTCAAGAGATACCTGCCAGAGCTCAGGCTCGGCCCAGATCCGCCTCTCTGATCTGCACAGGAGAAGGGCCCAGGGTAAGCTTGGGTCCGCCCCCTGCACTCCCCACCTGAGAGCCTAGGTCTAATCCACTTCCATCTTGAGACACTGCAGCCATCCCCATGGCCTTCCCAATGCAGTAGCCTCTACCTTGGCACAATAGACAGGGCCTAGAAGCAGCTGCATCTTGGAGCAGGCATCCCAAAGCCAGTGTAAGGACCACCCTTTCAGCCTCATTTTTTTTTTTTTTTTTTTGTACCAGGGATTGAATTCAGGGGCAATCAACCTCTGAGCCACATCCCCAGCCCTATTTTGTATTTTATTTAGAGACAGGATTTCACTGAGTTGCTTAGCACCTCATGATTGCTGAGGCTGGCTTTGAACTCTAGATTCTCCTGTCTCAGCCTCCCGAGTAGCTGGGATTACAGGCATGAGCCACTGTGCCCAGCCTCAGCCCCATCTCTGAAAGACGTTGCATCCGTCTTGGGGCACCTCCACTGCTATCTCAAGTTACCTCCTGCTATTGCTACCACCACTTATAGTTGTAGTAGCATCCACCCTGGGACACCAGCAGGGTTTGGAAGCCCAATACCAAGGTGAGATACAGATAATCTGCACAGTTACTACATGATTATAGGGTAGAAACTGTAATACCTCAGATCCACACTGCAAGTAAGGAAATCACATAGACAACATGAAAAAACAAGGGAGGAAAGTGCCCAAACAAACCAGGATACTATAATAACAGGACCATGGTCAGTGCAGTTGATAAAATGTCACAGAAGGGGTTCATAATGTTTATAATTGAAATGATCTGTGAATTAAAGAATGACCTAAATGAGTAAATACAGGCAAAATTGATCACTCCAATGAAGAGATAAGAACACAAATACAGGCAACCATTGGTGACACCAATAAACAGATAAGGGAGCAAATACAGGCATCCATTGATCTTACTGACAAAGAATAAGGGAACAAATACAGGTAGCAAAAGATTATTTCAAGAAAGAGAGATTCTGAAAAAAAAAATATCAGAAATCCTTGAAATGAAGGAAACAATAAACCAAATAAAAAACTCAATAGAAAGCCTCACCAACAGGATCACTTGGATACGACTAGATCACTTGGAAGACAGAATGTCAGATAATGAAGACAAAGTATACAGTCTGCAAAATAAAGTTGACCATACAGTGAAGATGGTAAGGA